TCAGACCGCCACCAGCTCGGTCTGACCGAATACGGCTCCGGCGGCTCGGGATCGGCCATCCCAGAGCATGCCATCCCAGCCATATAGCCGGCCGGTCAGACCGTCTTTGGTGCGGCGGTTAGACCGGTCCTGACATGGCGGTCAGACCGGTGACACAGGCCGGTCAAACCGGCATCTGTCCGGCGGTCAAACCGACCCTGGCAGTCCAGAGCAGTGACAAAAATATAACAAGTGTGTTGTGAAAATGTGAGTACAAGTGAAAATGCAATGACCTAATGTGACAATTAAAATCATCTCTTTGCTAGGTCATTCCCCCTCTTAGTAGTACGGCAAAACTATAAATAAACTAGCACAATTTTGATCGCCCAACGCCTCGATCAATTTAAAAAGAAAACACTAGTTTACCGTCTTCTCTTCCTTTTGCTTTGCACCGTCAATTTTAATCCATCAATGATCATCCATGTGCACACAAATAAGTGAACCTAACTCAAATAAATAAGCTCAAACACAACGGTTAGTCCACAATTAATGCTTGTCATTAATTACCAAAATTAACACCGGGGGCCTAGATGCTTCAGGTGAAGAAGACGGCGTAACGATATGGTAAGTAAATTTCATGGTAGTTTTGACCAAATGTTAGAAATGAGTAGCTGAGGTATTTTTTGATGTTCTTAAAGTGAACCGTACAATTTCGATATTGTACAACTAAAACCATGAACTTCGGATTCTGAAAAACAAGTTTTGTCCAATATTAAGCATGACACGCTTGGAAGCGCCATCGAGATCTTGTCTATATCCATGAAACACGTTTATACTTGTCTTTTCATTGAATGGGGAAAACTCATTGAATGAGAATTTGGAGTCTAATTTGAAAAAGATAGGCGTGGGTTCATTGCAATGATTTTTTTAATACAAATTAAGACCATGTTATTGTGCGTTTGTTCCACATAAGACGTAATTTTACCACTCAGACGAAGACGGCGCTCTAATATGGCATGATGAATAAATTTAATATATGAATCTAGAGATTGCCTATAAGTACATATATAATGGCATATATGTACTTACTATTAAGAGAGTATAATGGCATATGATTTTTGACCAAACTATAGCAAGGGAAAAAAACAACCAGAAGGTGCAGCACATTAAACACACCCACTCTACAGTCTACATGCTTAGCAGCTCACACTATACATGTGTGTATATTTACTTTGCGCACGTGCATTATGTTGGGTAGTCTAGTTATCCGATATATGGAAAACACATAGCCCATTGAACACGCACAATGCTGTAAACTTATTAATTGTTCCTAGGGCTTACCCTATTGCCAGCAGACTATTTAGCGACCAGTGGTAGCACAGTAATCATGGTAACCACTATAAATTCATATTCCAAACTTCGAATTCAAAATTTGAAACTCCATGCGGTAATACACAATTACCATGCAGTGCGCGTTGAAGCTGAAAAGAAACAATTGCGGAAAAAATGTAAAATGTAGTAAATTTTCTAAAGAAAAACTCATGGACAATTCATGAAAAAACATGGTTGTCTCTAGAAAAATAATGTAATATTGCATAATTTTTTTGGCATAACATTTGCTATATATATTTTTTATATTTAAACAAAGTAGGTATTATATCCCAACCCATCTATTGCTTTTTTTCATTTTTTTTTGTTCCAATGGAGCTCCAAAATGAAGTAAACTTCATCATTTTCACAAATATTGTTCACCATATTGCAATAGAAAATAGGTACTACTTGTAGGAATTTATTTTGAATTATTGTATGATTTTTTATTCAAATTTAAATTCAAACAGAATTCCCCAAATCCTACCAGCGGTTACCCCTATTGTACCCTATAGTAAAGCTCGGCTAATGTGGCTACCTTGCGGTAACTGCCAACAGGCCAACAGGGGAAACCCCTGGTTGTTCTTGGCTAGTTGAAGCACATTCATGAATTCAACCCTATTGTACCCTGTAGTAAAGCTCGGCTAATGTGGCTACCTTGCGGTAACTGCCAGCAGGGGAAACCCTGGTTGTTCTTGGCTAGTTGAAGCGCATTCATGAATTCAACTCTAGAAAAACAAGGAAACCCCAATGAGGTACTCAAGGTTCGACTCCCCAACTTGAGTCTGTATTTCTATATTCTCACCATTGAGAGCTAGAGTAGTCTCAACTGGCTACAATTTAATCTTACCTAAGGGCACCCGATAAAAGTGGTTAGTGCACATGCTTAGGCATCACAATGCAGATTGAAGACAACATTGCCCTACCCTAAGGCTGTATTCGGCACTTGGGATGGGAACTAATCCCTCGCGCATGCAAAACGGAGCAACTCACTAGCACATGATTAATTAAGTATTAATCATTTTTAAAAATAAATTAATATGATTTTTTAAATCAACTTTCGTACATAATTTTTTTAAAAAAACACACCGTTTAGTAGTTTGAAAAGTGTGCGCATGAAAAAAGAGAGAGGTGAGTTGGGAAAATTAGAAACGAACTCAACCTAAGGCTATGTTCGGCAACCATCTTTCCTAACTCATCTCCATCGTTTCCACGCATACGCTTTTCAAATTGCTAAACGTTGTGTTTTTTTCAAAATAATTTCTATAGTTAAGTTGTTTAAAAATCATATTAACCCATTTTTGAAAAAAAAAATTAACTAATACTTAATTAATCATGCACTAATAAGTCACTTCATTTTAAGTGCTTATGGGATGAGCTCCCTACTCTTTTTCTTTTTGTCGAACTCAGCCCTAGTGTTTTTCATTTTTTTTACGTGCTATGGCAAATGTCTCTTTATTTTTTTCCCTATTTACTTATTGTAATGAAGTGTTTCATTTTTAATTCCCGTGGTTTTCAAATACAGACATACAGTAGCCAAACAACTTCTTTTACTAGAATTCCAGAGTTTCTATTTCCTATGGGATTAGGCTAGCCATGAGGCCATGATGCTCTATTCCAGTTTTTTTCTTTGGGGAATTACGCATTTGACCCTCTTTCGAAAGCTAACTACCAATTTGACCCCTTTTATCAACTTTGTTTATTTGACCATTCTTTTCAAAATTGAAGATATTGTATGACCATATTCTGTTAAAGGCATCTAACGGTGTTAACTGAAGTACAAAATATCTCTTCTGCCCTTACTCATTTGACCCTATTGCATGTGGGACCCGTTCGTCATTCTCTCTTCTCATCTCCTCCTCTCTTTTCTCTTCTTCTCTCCTCCATAGCTCCACTAGCAGGGAGAAGGCGGCGAGCAGTGAGAGGGCGAGCCGACACCGGCCGACAGCTGTGGAGCACTGCCTCCAATCCTCATCTCCGCCGAGCCGTCGTCACCCCTCCCTCGCCAGATCCAGCCTTCACAGCTCTATCCCAGGCTCACCGCCTTCCTTCCCCTCGCACACCGGCGGCGCCTCTTCTTCCCTCCACGCGTTGGCTGCCGCCACCTCCTACCTCCTTCCGCGCGGCTGTGCCGGCGCCGGCGCCAGTGCCGCCTCCCTTATTCTGCGCGCCTGTCGCCGATGCGGCCGTTTTCCCTCCTTCCGCGTGCCTGTGCCAGTGCCGGCGCTACCTCCTTCCTTCCTCCGCGCACCGGCGGCGTGGCTTTTCTCTACAGCGCCAGCCGGGCCCACTTCCCTCCCTCGCGCCGGTGCTGCCGCTACCACTGCTCGCGCTGAGAGAGTTAGAGAGAGTGAGTCAGGCCAGGAAAGAGAGAAAGAGATGAGAGAGAAGTGAGGGTATTTTGGTCTATTTGAATAACAAATTATTTTTTTCTTTTTTCTAAAGAAACTTTAACCATGTAGAGCAATTAGGGTCAAACGTTATGTTCGATTTGAAAAAGTAGGGTCAAATCGGTACTTAGTTTATGAAACAGGGTCAAATAAGCAATTGCCCCTTTTTTTCCTCTATTCATATGTTTCTTTAAGCCCACGGTTCAAAAGAACCCTAAACCTTATATTGCTATGCACCAAAATTTATTAACGCAAGTTCCTAGTAAAGAGCAAATCTCCATAACAAAAACATATATTAGAAAAATCTGATTACCTATCTTTTTATTTCTCGTATTTATACAATTTCGGCATCAAACCAATATCATATTTTAACTCTTTTGCCTATTAATGTACTGCCTCTTTTTCAAATAATTTACACTAAGCATATTCATTTTTAAATTTTGTCTCTTAAAATATTTTACATGCTGAAAAGGTACCACATTATCAAATTGTATGGCGTCTTAAATGTAAATGTAAAACATGGAGCTCTCATTCATTGTAATATGGCCCTGGCCAATTGAGCCCAATCAAGATAGTTCGGCCCATCCTAGCTTTTAGTCCATCACGACACGGGGCTGGACCATGGCCCATATCCCATGGCATGGTTGGACTGCAGGCTGCAGAGCCCACCTCCTCCTGCATTGCAACCTCGCCCAAGTTGGACCAACTTTGCCAGCAGATGAACCGTCGTTATCGCCTCGCACGGTGGACAGTGGACACTGTACAGTGTGGTCCAGTTCGTTCCCTGCAGATCCATGGCCGCGCCGGCGAGTCGGCGTGCACCCGCGACCAGAAGAAAAGCTGCCGGCGCACGCCCCGCGTGCCGGATCAGCGGCCAACTTTTTACTCCTCTGAACAAAAGCCCCACGCAAAATAGACTTCCTTCCATCCCATGGCCTCAAGGTTGTGCCCGCCCACAAAATCCCGCGTCGATTATATTCTCCATGGAGACGACTTGTTAGTTGTCGGCCACGCAAAAGTTTTTCGCTAACATGAGTTTTTTAGTTGAGATTAACGACAAATGGTTCCGCGTCACCGGGTCAGAGGCTTATGGCAGGATAAGCCTGGGATTGGGACAAGATCACGTGCGCACAGAAACCATTTGCCTTTGGATCTCGTCCCATCCATACAAAAATGGCAACACCCAGCATCCATGCTTAGCACGCCAACGACTAGTTGAAAGATCGCAATTCGCACATGACCAAATCATAAATTAATGGAAGCGCCAAAATAGAGGAGTATATACTGGATAGTCATAATAGTAGAAGAGTCATAGTCCGGTCAACTTCGGCGTCTCCCGGCTCCCGCCCGCGGCTGCGCGTCACCACTTCGCATCACTCGCTGCCTCGCACGAGTCGCACCGTCGCAAGCCGCGGTATCGTGGCAGCGACCAACCCGTCGCGCCGCGCGCTATAAAAATCCTTCCATGCCACAGAGCTTCTTGACATCACCATCGATCAGTCACATCCTTCGCCTTCCCAGCATGGCACGCATGCCTCCTCCTCTCGCTGTCGCTTGCACGGCTCTCCTGCTCCTCCTCTTCGTCTCGGTCTCGCCGTGCCGCGCGGCGTCAGGTGGCGACCCGTCCGCCGTGCTGCTGCCGGTGAGCAAGGACGACGCGACGCAGCAGTACGTGACGATGTTCCGGCAGCGGACGCCGCAGGCGCCCTTGAAGGCCGTGCTGGACCTCGCCGGCGCCACGCTGTGGGTGGACTGCGAGGCCGGGTACGTGTCGTCGTCGTACGCGCGCGTGCCGTGCGGGTCCAAGCAGTGCCGCCTCGCCAAGACCAACGCGTGCGCCACCAGCTGCGACGGCGCGCCGTCGCCGGCCTGCCTCAACGACACCTGCGGCGGGTTCCCGGAGAACACGGTCACGCACGTCAGCACCAGCGGCAACGTCATCACCGACGTGCTGTCCCTGCCCACCACCTTCCGCCCGGCCCCGGGGCCGCTCGCCACCGCGCCGGCGTTCCTGTTCACATGCGGCGCCACGTTCCTGACCGAAGGCCTCGCCGCCGGCGCCACCGGCATGGTGTCTCTCAGCCGCGCCCGCTTCGCTTTCCCCACGCAGCTCGCCGCCACCTTCCGCTTCTCCCGCAAGTTCGCGCTCTGCCTCCCGCCGGCCGCCGCGGCCGGCGTCGTCATCTTCGGCGACGCGCCCTACGTGTTCCAGCCTGGTGTTGACCTCTCCAAGTCGCTCATCTACACACCACTCCTCGTCAACCCGGTGAGCACGGGGGGCGTGTCCACCAAGGGAGACAAATCAACCGAATACTTCGTCGGCTTGACGCGCATCAAGGTGAACGGCCGCGCCGTGCCGCTGAACACGACGCTGCTTGCCATCAACAAGAAGGGAGTGGGTGGCACCAAGCTGAGCACGGTGACCCCCTACACCGTGCTGGAGACCTCCATCCACAAGGCGGTCACCGACGCGTTCGCGGCCGAGACGTCCATGATCCCGCGAGTGCCGGCCGTGGCTCCGTTCAAGCTGTGCTACGACGGGAGCAAGGTGGCGGGCACACGCGTGGGGCCGGCCGTGCCGACGGTCGAGCTGGTGTTCCAGAGCGAGGCCACGTCGTGGGTGGTGTTCGGGGCGAACTCGATGGTGGCCACCAAGGGCGGCGCTCTCTGCCTCGGTGTGGTGGACGGCGGCGTGGCGTCGGAAACGTCGGTGGTGATCGGCGGTCACATGATGGAGGACAACCTGCTGGAGTTTGACCTGGTGGGATCGCGGCTGGGGTTCAGCTCCTCCCTCCTGTTCCGGCAAACGACCTGCAACAACTTTCGCCTCGGCTAGATGTGCAACGCATGGCAGTCGCCACTGCAGCTTAGCTTACTATCTCAAAAAAAAAAAAGATGCTTTGCATTTCTTTGTGCAATCGTGTGAAGTTGTTGGAATAAATTGTTCATCCATTACAACTAGTCAACCAGCGTAGGCATTTGACTTGGATCTACTTGTTCTTTACCATATCCTTGATAGTGAGAGGTGGCGTTTGACTGAAACAACAATTTGGAATCAATTTTGCTATATATTATCGATAAATTTTCTTCTAAAATATTGACTGATGTAATTATAGTACAATCGTAATGTAATTTAATTTTGCTATATATTTATCGATAAATTTTCTTCTAAAAATTTAATATATATAATTACAGTATAATTGTAATGTAATTACACTGTAACTTGCATGCAACTATAATGTAAGCATGTAACTTTCACATAATTTTAAATCGTTAGATCTATTCAAATGAAGAAAAAAAGTCGCTGTGTGCACATATGTGTGAGGGTTCGTTCCACGACCTCCGTTTGACGGAAATAGCATGTTACGGAGAGACTTTTGAAAGTTACATACAAGCTGTATGTAAGTTACAGTGTAATTACATTATAATTGTATTATAATTATATCTATCAAACTTTTAAGAGAAAATTTATCGTAAAATGTATAGGTAATCTCAAGCACTTGACCTTACTTTGTCAGCAAATGTAATCAACCGTCGCTGCTTGTGCAGTCTTCTCCCATTTCAGCTCCCCTCGCTCCAGCTGATCAGCACTGGTCCAGTTTAGATTAGTTGGATGAGTTGGATACCATCATCTCATCACCCATACAACAATGGCCACCCCTGCAAAAGGCTGTGCAGATGGTTTGCCTGCCTGCATGGTGGCCCGCAATTGGTCGAGAACAAAGGTCGCAATTCGCACATGCCCAGACCGTCAAATACTACCAGCATTTTCCTTGCTATAACAGCAGAGTTCCGTTTCCACTTCGGCGTCTCGTACAGTCGTACTCTCGCTCGGCCCGCGACTATACAGTCTGCCCTACCAGGCTACCACCGCCATCCATCGCCGTTGTATTCTGGGATGGTGATTGGTGCGAGAGCCGAAATACCAAACCGCGCGCGAGGGTGCGCCCTATAAATATCCTTCCTCGCCGCTGCAATGGTTCACACCCCATCGGAATATCGCATCCTTCCTCTCAGAAGAATGGCACGCTTTCCTCCTCCTCTCGCTTCCGGCGCTCTCCTCCTCCTGCTCTTCGTCTTGGTCTCGCCGTGCCGCTCGGCGGCAGGAGGCCGGCCGAGAGCCGTGGTGCTGCCGGTGAGCAAGGACGACGCGACGCAGCAGTACGCGACGGTGTTCCGGCAGCGGACGCCGCAGGTGCCCGTGAAGGCCGTGCTGGACCTCGCGGGCGCCACGCTCTGGGTGGACTGCGATACCGGGTACGTGTCGTCGTCCTACGCGCGTGTCCCGTGCGGGTCCAAGCCGTGCCGCCTCACCAAGACCGGCGGCTGCTTCAACAGCTGCTTCGGCGCGCCATCCCCGGCCTGCCTCAACGGCACCTGCAGCGGGTTCCCGGATAACACGGTCACGCGCGTCACGGCTGGCGGCAACATCATCACCGACGTGCTCTCGCTGCCCACCACCTTCCGCACCGCGCCGGGGCCGTTCGCCACCGTGCCGGAGTTCTTGTTCACCTGTGGCCACACGTTCTTGACCGAGGGCCTCGCTAACGGCGCCACCGGCATGGTGTCCCTCAGCCGCGCCCGCTTCGCGTTCCCCACGCAGCTCGCCCGAACCTTCGGCTTCTCCCGCAGGTTCGCGCTCTGTCTCCCGCCGGCCTCCGCAGCTGGCGTCGTCGTATTTGGCGACGCGCCTTACGTGTTCCAGCCCGGCGTGGACCTCTCCAAGTCGTCGCTCATCTACACGCCTCTGCTCGTCAACGCGGTGAGAACGGCGGGGAAGTACACAACGGGGGAGACGTCGATCGAGTACCTCATCGGCTTGACGGGCATCAAGGTGAACGGCCGCGACGTGCCACTGAACGCGACGCTCTTGGCAATCGACAAGAATGGCGTAGGCGGCACCACGCTGAGCACGGCGTCTCCTTACACCGTGCTGGAGACCTCCATCTACAAGGCGGTCATCGACGCGTTCGCGGCCGAGACGGCCACGATCCCCCGTGTGCCGGCCGTGGCACCGTTCGAGCTGTGCTACGACGGGCGCAAAGTAGGGAGCACCCGCGCGGGGCCAGCGGTGCCGACGATTGAGCTGGTGCTGCAGAGGGAGGCCGTGTCGTGGATCATGTACGGGGCAAACTCGATGGTGCCCGCCAAGGGCGGCGCGCTCTGCCTTGGCGTGGTGGACGGCGGCCCCGCGCTGTATCCGTCATCGGTGGTGATCGGCGGGCACATGATGGAGGACAACCTGCTGGAGTTTGACCTGGAGGGGTCGCGGCTGGGTTTCAGCTCCTACCTCCCGTTGCGGCAGACGACCTGCAACAACTTTCGCCTCGGCTAGCAGATAGCAATACTGTGGGCAACCTGTAGTAGCCATGGACCCATGGTAGCTAATACTATCAACTAGTACCTACATTTCTAATTTTCCCTTTCTACTTTGTTGTTAGAATTGCTCATGAACCGCCAGATGCCGTATCCACGCATCCACGGTTTCTGATCGCCTATTCGGACAATGATTTAAAAGTTGATTGTTTTTTCCAAAATATACTAATTCGAAGCTCGGGATATTACAACCGGCGCTACTACAAAACTCATTTTCACGTACGGCTAAAATCCCTTTTCTCAGGCGGTGGAGTGTCCGCCTGAAATTGCACGTATGTGAAAAAATGAATTTGACATAAAAGGGCACCACAACTGCGTGTGAAAAGTAATTTCGCAGGCATGTGCATTAAGACGTTCGGCTGAAAAAGATTTTTGGCAAAAAGTTAAATACAAATTTTGAAAAAAAAGTTTTCCGGAAAGATAATATCAATGTTATAGATATGGCGTACCTTGTATACCTATATTGGTCACCATCGAAAATATTGTATACCTAATGTTATACTGAAGGATATATCTAAGACAAAATTACATGTAAGGAAGGAATTCTGCTTGTTTAGGGAAGGATTATGGAGTCTAACCCGAGAAAGATAGGTATTTGTCTGCCCATACCTTACTTAGGGTTCCCAAGTTTTACTTGCACAAGGGGTAGCCTTTCAATATAAACTAGCCACTTAGTCGCACTTGTGCGACTTTGAGCGTTAGCGTACCTACCTATATAATTAGACTTGAGACATTGATCCTAACATTAATTGAAGGTACCGGTTTTGTAAGTACTTTAATTTCTTTGTTTTCAAATATACTCCATTAATTCCTATATATAAGTATTTCTAGTTTGTTTAGTAAAGAGTAAGATTAAGGAGGAATGATTTCTTTCGATCACTTACTATCAAATTTTGAACTACTCCGATTGGCTCTTTCGAACACCTGATTGGCTAAAAATACTTAGATATGCATTGAAATTAGTGTCCTAGAAATGCTTTATATTTCTATATAAAATTTGCCATAATACTTATTTTGGGAATGATGCAGTAGCAAGAGATGTAAATGGAGGAATGCTGTAATTGATTGACATTATAAAGTAGATGAAGAAATTAAATAGGATATGACTATGTTGGTTAAGATGAGAGAGTAGGTGTAGAAATAGCTATATTTTATGAGAAATTTTGAATGTTAAAAGCACCTATATTTTAGAACGGAGACAACAATAACACTAAGTGATCCTAAGTGTAGTGTGTGCGTTTGTAGGGACTGTTTTAAAATAAAATTGGTACACAGTGGATACTACTTAGTTGCTGTGTGTTGCTCCAATACCAAGCAATCAAAAGTAGTATACATTATAGATATAAATTTGCATATAAATTCAATATAAATTTACGGGTAAGGCGTCATATTTTTTTTCCTTTATTTAGCCAGGAGATTAATTAAGCAAACATATATATAGTGTTAAAAAGACTTTTTTTAACGGTAGTGTTAAATAGACTAAGCACATGAGTTCTCTGCTTTTTGAGGTCTTTAGTCTAGAAGCATCCGGATTGGTCCAACGTGTTTCCACTGTCATAGATGAGCATGATGATCCAACGGTGTATTTTCATTTACCAGTTCATCCAACGGTCAATACATTGTAGATGATGTGGCTTATCCTCCTTTTAGAAAGCTTGTTGCTTTCATATATTTAGATACCAAGCCCCCAGAGAGGGGAGGACATCTAATTACAACTTGTAAGTCATAGATACAAACCACACTGAGATTACACCACGAGGAAGCCCTACAGATAGCTAGCCACATAATACAACCCACTGCCTTGTTTCTCATGATTAATTTGTTTGCTTCTCCTTTATACTGAAACTAAAGTAGTGTTATTACCCTTCTTGAGGGCTCGAACTTAGTATCAAAATCAATGTTACTTGTCTCTTTATTCCATACTGGTGCATATGTTGGTATCAGTTGTACGCTACGTTCATAAAGTACCGTTGTCGGGTATATAACATGTCGATACCTAACTCCCCGACAAAATCGGCAAATTAATAAAAATTCGTCGACGAAGCCGCTGCCATTGGTGCAGTCCGCCATCATCCCCGACCCTTCCCGTCGGTAGATCTAGAGAGATAGATGTGCACGTGGCGGCCGTCTCCATTGCTTTTTGTGCCCTCCTGTGGCCGCTTCTATCAACCAATCGAATCCCGACGCCTTCGCCTCAACCGCTTGAAGCAGCCGTCGCTAGGAAGGGAGAGGGGCATAGGAAAGACGGAGAGGTCGCCTGAAGAAAGGGAGGCAACAGGAAAGAGGCCGGGAGAAGTGAGAGAAAGACTTAGCCGCCTTTTCTGTGGACAATGCCTTTTATATTTGATTGTTATTTTCTCTTCACCGGAAAGGAGGCAACAGGAATGAGGGAGAAGTGAGAAGGAGACTTAGCTGCTCCTTTTGTGGCCAATGCCTTTTGTATTTCATCGTTATTTTCTCATGTGGTATAATTTTTAAAGCGAACATCTTAAAAGCCCACCTATAAAAATCAACCTATCTATAAATATAGGGGCTTGAACGGAGATCGATATATATTTTCGCATGAGGGTGATTCTCTATAAAATGACTTGTGAGTTGTCAGCAACACAAGCGTCATAGGTTTTCTCCGAGATTCTAACCAGAGTTTTACTCCATTATATCAGATTAGCGACAAACGGTAAGTCGTCACCGCGTCAGGGGCTCAGGACAGGGACATGATCACAGGATCACAAAGAGCACAGTAATATAGGATCCATTCCCTTTGGATCTCATCTCACCCATAAAAAACATGTTAATTTGTTCAAAGATCGCACTTGCCCAAACCTTAAAATACAGGAGCAGCACTAGCAAGTGGTAGAAGAGTTATATTCCGGAGGTCCACTTCGCGACCTGGCGCGGTCTCGCCCCTGCGCCTGCGTCTGCGCGGCGACCTACCCTCCTGGCCGCGCGTGGGCGCGCGCTCCATAAAAACCATTCGATCCTTCACTACCGTCACTGCACATCCTTGGTTTTCCCAGCATGGCATGCCTACCTCCTCGTCTCGTTCTCGCTTCCACCGCGCCAGTGCTAGTGCTACTGCTCTTCGTCCCGCTCTCGCCGTGCCGCGCGGCTTCAGGCAGTAGCCCGAGCGCCGTGCTGCTGCCGGTGGACAAGGACGGCGCAACGCAGCAGTACGTGACGATGTTCTGGCAGCGGACGCCGAGTGTGCCCGTGAAGGCCGTGGTTGACCTCGCGGGCGCCATGCTCTGGGTGGACTGCGAGTCCGGGTACGAGTCGTCGTCGTATGCGCGCGTGCCGTGCGGGTCCAAGCCTTGCCGCCTCGCGAAGAGCGCCGCCTGTGCCACCGGCTGCTCCGGTGCGGCGTCCCCGGGCTGCCTCAACGACACCTGCACCGGGTTCCCGGAGTACACTATCACGCGCGTCAGCACCGGCGGCAACATCATCACAGACAAGCTGTCGCTGTACACCACCTGCCGCCCCATGCCGGTTCCGCGCGCCACCGCGCCGGGGTTTCTGTTCACCTGCGGTGCAACGTCCCTGACCAAAGGCCTCGGCGCCGCGGCCACGGGCATGATGTCCCTTAGCCGCGCCCGCTTCGCGCTCCCCACGCAAGTCGCCTCCATCTTCCGCTTCTCCCGCAAGTTCGCGCTCTGCCTCGCGCCGGCTGAGTCATCTGGCGTCGTCGTTTTCGGCGACGCGCCCTACGAGTTCCAGCCCGTCATGGACCTCTCCAAGTCACTAATCTACACCCCGCTACTCGTCAATCCGGTGACCACAACGGGGGGTGTCCACGGCAGGGGACAAGTCGACCGAGTACTTCATCGGTGTGACGGGCATCAAGGTGAACGGCCGCGCCGTGCCCCTGAACGCGACGCTGCTGGCCATCGCCAAGAGCGGAGTGGGCGGCACCAAGCTGAGCATGTTGTCCCCTTACACCGTGCTGGAGACCTCCATCTACAAGGCGGTCACCGACGCGTTCGCCGCCGAGACGGCTATGATTCCCCGTGTGCCGGCCGTGGCGCCGTTCAAGCTTTGCTACGACGGGACCATGGTGGGGAGCACCCGCGCGGGGCCGGCCGTGCCGACCGTCGAGCTGGTGCTGCAGAGCAAAGCCGTGTCGTGGGTGGTGTTCGGGGCGAACTCTATGGTGGCCACCAAGGACGGCGCGCTCTGCTTCGGCGTTGTGGATGGAGGCGTAGCCCCGGAGACGTCGGTGGTGATCGGCGGACACATGATGGAGGACAACCTGCTGGAGTTCGACCTGGAGGGGTCACGGCTGGGTTTCACCTCCTACCTCCCGTTGCTGCAGACGACCTGCAACAGCTTTCACCTTGGCTAGCTAGCTAGTATATAGCAATGCCGGCAGTTGCCAGGGTAGCTCATTTGTTTTCTTTTTAAATAAATGATACAAACACAAGCCCATGTTAAATTTAAGATTTGAACCTGGTGGACAGGTTCCACCACAGGAAACCTGATCAGTTGAGTTATACTCACTTTGTATAAATTCTGCATTTCTGTATGTGATAGTGCGAAGTATCTCGGTGCTAGCCTTTTGCAATCTCTGTTGTAATGAAAAAACATCAGTAAATTTGGCGAAATCATACATACTTTTAGGGGAATTCTTTTAATCTCTCGGCGGATGTTATCAGTTTCTTGTTTCTTGTCTGTCTAAAAATTATATATATCCTAAAAAACTATAAGATAAATTAATACCCAAATTAATATGTGATATACTATTTCACAAACATGCACGTTTAAATTTGACTTCTACAAGTTAAAAAAAATAACTATAAGCACACGCATACTATTTAGAGTTAAATTTGTTATAACCTATGGAGATCAAAATTGAACTTAAACTTACATATTTCTGAAGTAATATATTGCATATTATTTTATCTTGCTATTTTTTAATTCTTTATAATTATTTAAATGACATGCAAAAACGATGAGGCATCCCCTTAAGAGATTAGAATCCATTTCACACTTGACATCTTTAATTTTTACCAAGTACACCCTCTGTCTTTGAAAAAACTAATTTTCAAGAATGAATGGATGGATGCTTATTCAGATTCGGTCATAGAATTTTTTTTCGGAGGGAGCAAATATGTTTTATCTAAATTATCACACTACTACAAATTCATGATTTTATATCTCATAGAACTATGAAATTTAAGCTAAGTCGTCGTTCATAAAACTAGAAGTTTAGACTCCACCAGTACGTGCAACGCCATGTCGCCGACGAATAGAGTCTCGCACTCTCGCTAGTCTGAAGAAAATGATAGGTTTTGACGAGAAAAACTACATGTTTGACATGTATAACTCACTTGTCTTGTAGCGGTTCATGTGAAGGTGGAGCTCTAAAACTATAGTTATGCAATAACTTGAGTGTAAAATTTGTGTTTCTCCTGTAGAAAACATCGAATGCTAGTTTAGCAAAGTTTATACGGTGTTACGAAAATTACTCATTTTTTCATGTTGACTTGGATGTTGTACCTCACACTATAGCGGTAGCATGTCCTCGTAACACTGCACACTCCACCGGGATAAATGCTACTCCTATCAGGGCCCCTCCATTACTACAGAAATTAAAGCACTTTGGTGCTTGTTGGAAACCCTCTTAGATGCTGGTTATAGAACCGGCATCTACATTGGTAAGATGTCGGTTTTTACGTTTTAGAACCGACACCTTTAAGGTTTTACGAATAAAAAAAAGCCGACTCGGCTGATGCATCGAGCCGAGTAGATCCCTTTCACCCCGACCAATCAAGAACACACCCGATTCACATGAACAAGAACAATAACACAATCTCAATTCCTTCAACTCGATTCTTTTGCATGAACAACAACAAGAACACATGAGAAACAAGAACATAAATCCGATTCTTCTGCCGCCGCCGTCTCCTCCACTCTCGCAACCGCCTGCCTCTGCCGCCGCCGCCTTCCCTCTCACCACCGCCTGCCTCTGCCGTCCCCGTCCCCCCTCCTGTCGGGCCGCCGCTCCCGGTAGGATCTGGCGGAGGGCGCTGTTGCCTCCCGCTGCGGCACCTCGTGTTGGGCCGACGCCTCCCCTCCCCGGCGGATCTGGCAGAGGGGAGGCGCCGTGGCCATCTCCACCGCCAGGACGCCGCCGCCGCCGCTCGATGGGGTGGGTGCATGAGAGAGCCGAGGGGAGGGAAGAGAAGGAAGAAGAGAGAGAGAGAGGTGGGTAAGAGAAGGATGGATGGATAAGAACGGACGCCTCCCTTCCCCGTGCGGCTCAGTTTTATGGGGTGTCAGTTGTTTAAAAACTGGCATCTATAATATATTATAAGTGTTGATTTTTTTAAAAAAGCTGACACTTATTCCTTTTGCCACAAAGATGATGGTTCTTGGGTGGGCCTAGCGCCAACTAAAAGATGTTAGATTTAAATTAAAACCGGCATCTATTTCTGACAGGGGTAAAAGGTGTCGGTTTTTTAAAAAAACTGGCACCTATTAGGAGATAAAGATGCCGGTTCTTGGTATTTTGGTGGGCTGATGGGCGTGTGGGTAGGAAAGGCACTATATTTGTTGGTTTTATCACTTCCGTCACTATATGTTTTGTAGTAGTGCTCTACTGTTGGTTTGACTAGTGCAGTCCATGCAAGCGAATTGAACAAAATATCTGTTCGATCGCTGTGAAAATTGATTCGTGGGATGAAAATCTCAATCTCACCTGCGTCCGCCCTACCCACTCGTGTGACCCTATGATAGGAAATGTTTTTGCTCATTGGAAGTCGCTTTTTTCACTAAGAGAGCCAGCTAAATACTGAGGTGGAGGAGAGAAGAGAGGAGAGAGGAGAAGCGGACTGTAAACTTATAGCCGGCTTGTACACAAGAACTAAGAAACTCTGTGAGAGAGACAAGTGGACCATTTATTAATTGTAAAGAGCTAACTATTTATACGGGTAGACTGAGAGAAGACTACAAAGAATATTATAGCCAATAGGTCGGTTGCATTATTAGCCTTGCTCTAAGAGTAGGTACAATAGCGAGCTATAAACCAGCTATAAACATATTTTAAAGAGATAAAAGAAAGAGAGAGAAGAGCAGCGGGTTACAGATCTGTAGCCAGCTGCAGCATGGACTCCAAGATGTAATATGTGTATGACAGGTGAGATCAGGTATTAATAGTATAGTAAGCAACTATTGTATTAATTGGCTATTATAATATTGACTATAGATGATTTAGAGTTAGTAGATAGCTATTCTATTAAACTTGCTCTAACACACAAGTCGACTCTCAGTTTGCTCGGTCCGATCCTTTTGTGCGCACGGTTCAATTTTAGCCTAACATTGGAGCTACTCTCACGCTGTCACGCACAAAAGCCTCTCCAATACTAGTAAGCTTGATTTTCTTGTTCCTCCCGTAGTCTGTCTCTTCACGCCCACTGGTAAAATTTCTATGGATGAGGTAATTCCCAATTCAAAAAATAGCTATTCCTACTCAGCAGCGAGGGTTTTAGGTTGGAGACGGCGACAAATGGTGCCCTAGCTATCATGGCAGGAAGCAAGCCCTGGAGGACAGATCACAGTAATGCATGCTTTGCTTTGGATGAGTCAGATCTCACACACCCAAAAATGGCAAATCCTGCTACGGCTACTTTGTAGCCTTGTACACGGTTCGTGACAAAATCAACGATGACGAAGCCGTGGAGATGGTAAGTAACAGGCAAAGCTCTCGTTTCATTCTTTACATATCGTCCCAAAGTTATGATTTTCTTAAAAAGAACAATAAAATAATAAGATAGATTAGTATACAATATATCACTTCACAAAATTCTAGTTTAATATTAACTTCTACAAGTTGAAAAAAAATAAATATGACTTTGAGCATATGTGTACAAGTTACAGTTAAATCTATTACTTTTGTTACAACTTGCGGCTATCAAATATAAATTTGCATGTTTCTGGAGTTATATATCACATATTAATCTATCTCGTCTTTTTTCTCTTTAAATTTTTTTATTACTCCCTCCGTCCTAAAAAATAAGCATTTTTAGCATAGTAACGAGTCAAACATTTTTAACTTTAACTATTAATAGCAAAGAAATAAAAAATATAATCATGTAAAATTGATGTTACTAGATTTATCATTAAACAAACTAACATAATATGCAACTATTTTTATTTAAAACATCTTACTTTTATAGATATTGTTTGTCAAAGTAGCATCTCGGAGACTGTATCAGGATCAAAAAATACTTATATTTTAGGATGGAGGGGTACTATTTAAGTAATATATCTCAAGGGGATATTAAAATCCATTTTTCCTAACTAACATTGGTTAAACTGGCCCAACAAAGAGGTAGTAGGTCTGGACTTTGATCCTAACCACGTTAAGGCCTTGTTTAGGGCCCCTTTGATTTGGAGAAAAAAATATAGAAATTTTGGAGGATTTTAATCCTATAGGAAAATTTTGTATGAAGCCCTTTGAAACATATGATTGAATCCTATCTAATGCTTTGAAATTCCTATGAAATTGACAATCCTATAGAAATTATGGAGGAAATTTAGCAAGAGGTTCAACCTGAACCTCTTGGTAACTTTCCTTTGAGTCTCTCTCATCCAATTCCTATGTTTTTATTACGGTTCAATCAAATGGTTATTTCTGTATTTTTTCCTGTATTTTGCAATCATCTGTTTTACACTTAGGGCCCATTTGAATCACAGGAATGAAAAAAATGGAAGAATAGAAAAAACATAGGATTCTGACAGGAATTCTAGTGTAAAACAGAGGATTGCAAAATACAAGAAAAATATAGGAATGAATGTTTGATTGGGCCGCAGGAAAATCACATAAATTTGAGGAGAGATAAAGACTCAAAGTATTCTTTCCATGAGGTTCTACCTTTGAATCATAGGAACGAAAAAACAAAGGAATAGGAAAAACATAGGATTCTGAACATGAGAGAGATAGACTCAGAGGAAATTTTCCAAGAGGTTAGACCTCTTGCTAACTTTCCTCCAAAATATACATAGGATTACCCATTCCATAGGAATTTTAAAGGATTGGATAGGATTCAATCCTTTGTTTCAAAGACCTTCATAGGATTTTTTTTTCCATCGGATTGAAATCCTCCAAAATTTCTATATTTTTCCTACAAATCAAAGGGCCCTAATTTCCTAAAAAAACTTGCATGGGAAGAGGCATTCCATAGGAATTTCATAGGATTCCATAGAATCCATTCCTTTGATTCAAAGGGCCATATAGGAAAAATTCCTATAAGAATAAAATCCTCTAAAATTCCTGTAAATTTCCTTTGAATCAAAGGGCCCATATATTCCTATCAAAATCCTATGTTTTTTCATATTCCTACGTTTTCTCGATCCTGCGATTAAAAGGAACCCTTATTTCCTCCAAAATGGCAAAAGTTTTGCTGTTTTAGGGCACTTTTTGCCAAAATAGATCTCAACACTAGTAGCAAAAGTTTGTAATTTGGCATTTGTCATTTGGAAGTCTAGAGTAACAAATTTTGGTAAAAAGTGTGTTGGAAGCCGTGCTCTCTCTCTCTCTGCCTTTACTAGTAAAATGGCAAAACTTTACCATGCATGTAAACACCAACTAGCAAAACTTCAATGCCAAATCTTTTACCACCAAAACTTTTTTAAAAAAAATTATCAGACCAAATTAATCTAAACAGGCCATAAGAAAATGTACTCCGTACATGTAGTACAGATGATCTAGGCGTGCGTGCATGCATGCGTGGCCCGCCATGGACGCGTCCAAAGATCGCACATCTCCAGACCGTCAAATACAGCTAGCTAGTACCAGAACAGCAGAGTTCCCTGTCCACTTCGTTGTCTCGCCCCGCGGTGGGCAGGTTGCGCGCCACTACGTACTGCCCAACCCTCGCCGCGGTATCGTAACTCGTAATAAGAGGTTGAGACTTGAGACGGGGAGACCCAAATCGCTCGTGTTGCGCCTATAAATGTCGTTGATTGCCGCATCATTACTTCACAAGTTCACATCTCCATCCCCATCGAGTTCTTCGTTTTCTGACTCTTGTCAGCATGGCACGCTTGCCTCCTCTTGCTGTGGCTTCCGGCGCTCTCCTCCTGCTGTTCGTCTCGGTCTCGCCGTGCCGCGCGGCGGCAGGCGGCGGGCCGAGCTCCGTGGTGCTGCCGGTGAGCAAGGACGACGCGACGCAGCAGTACGTGACGATGTTCCGGCAGCGGACGCCGCAGGTGCCCGTGAAGGCCGTGCTGGACCTCGCGGGCACCATGCTCTGGGTGGACTGCGACGCCGGGTACGTGTCCTCGTCGTACGCCGGCGTGCGGTGCGGTGCCAAGCCCTGCCGCCTCCTGAAGAACGCCGGCTGCGCCATCACCTGCCTCGACGCGGTATCCGCAGGCTGCCTCAACGACACCTGCAGCGAGTTCCCGAAGAACACCGCCACGAGCGTCAGCACCGCCGGCAACATCATCACCGACGTGCTGTCGCTGCCCACCACCTTCCGCCCCGCGCCGGGGCCGCTCGCCACCGCGCCGGCGTTCTTGTTCACCTGCGGCCACACGTTCTTGACCCAAGGACTCGCCGACGGCGCCACCGGCATGGTGTCCCTCAGCCGCGCCCGCTTCGCGCTCCCAACGCAGCTCGCCGACACCTTCGGCTTCTCCCGCAAGTTCGCGCTCTGCCTCCCCCCGGCCTCCGCGGCCGGCGTCGTCGTCTTCGGCGACGCGCCCTACACGTTCCAGCCAGGGGTGGACCTCTCCAAGTCTCTCATCTACACCCCGCTGCTCGTCAACCCGGTGAGCACGGCGCCGTACGGCAGGAAGGACAAGACGACCAAGTACTTCATCGGCGAGACGACCATCCAACTGAAAGGCCGCGTCTGGAGAGAAAAGTCAACCGATTACTTCATCGGCTTGACGGGCATCAAGGTTAACGGCCACACCGTGCCGGTAAACGCGACGCTGCTGGCCATCGACAAGAAAGGAGTGGGCGGCACCAAGCTAAGCACGGTGTCCCCCTACACCGTGCTGGAGAGATCCATCCACCAGGCGGTGACCGACGCGTTCGCGAAGGAGATGGCCGCGATCCCGCGAGCACCGGCAGTGGAGCCGTTCAAGCTGTGCTACGACGGGAGGAAGGTGGGGAGCACGCGCGTGGGGCCGGCCGTGCCGACCATCGAGCTGGTGCTGCAAAGCACGGGTGCCTCGTGGGTTGTGTTCGGGGCGAACTCGATGGTGGCCACCAAGGGAGGCGCGCTCTGCCTCGGCGTGGTGGACGCCGGCACGGAGCCGCAGACGTCGGTTGTGATCGGTGGGCACATGATGGAGGACAACCTGCTGGAGTTTGACCTGGAGGCATCGCGGCTGGGGTTCAGTTCATACCTCCCGTCTCGGCAGACGACCTGCAATAATTTTCGCCTCGGCTAGCATGTAGCAGTGCTGGCATTTGCCCCGTTCCCAAGTATGCATGGCCATACCTACAAATTTTGGGTCCCCCGGTGTTTAACACAAAATAAGGCCTTATGTCTGAAAATACCAATCTCTGAATGAAAGAGTGAGTTTTTGCCAAAGTTTCACCCTTTCCATTTCATATTATAACTCGTTTGACTTTTTTCTTAATTAAAGTTATTAGAGTAAATTTCACATTGCAGCATGTATTTTGACCAAAGTTTCACAATAGGCAAGGTCCACACCAACCTTTTCACTAAACACCATATATGTTTGCACTAGTTGGCACTTTGGACTAGGGTTGAGCACATAGAAGGAAGTTGCCAGAGAAAAGATAGTTAAAATCATCAATTTTAGTGCCACGGTATTAAGATAAATATCTTTAGAAAAAAAATAGCAAATCTAAAAATAACTTTTTTCAGCAAATCACACTAAAATAATGACGTAAACATGTTTAAAAGTGGCACAAAATGATCTATACATTGTGGTAAATGAATAAAAATAAAATAGAAAATAGAACTAGTTAACTACCACACATGAAAAGGAAGAAAACATAAAGTGTTTTGCCTTTTATAATTATCCCTGTGTAAATCATATGAAGCTCTCTCACATATTCCCCTTGTTTTGCTCACCCCTAGTTCAAACTGAAAACTTATGTAAAGATGTATGGTGTTAAGTGAAAACATTGATTTAACCCTAGTCCATTATGAAACCTTGGTTAAAATATGTGGCCCATTGTAAAATTTACTCAAGTTATTATGTTTGACCAAGTGTATAGAAAAAGCTAGCAATATTTGCAACACAAAATTAGTTTTATTAAATTTAACATTGAATATATTTTGATACAATGTTTGTTTTGTACTGAAAATGTTATTATATTTTTTATAAACTTGATCAAACTTAAAAGAATTTTGATTAGGAAAAAAGTCAAACGACTTGTAATATAAAACGGAGGGCTAGTATTTTACAATACGTACTAGTATTCCAGACAACCAAAACCGATTTTTGCGTACGGGCCTCCGGGTCATTGAATCTAGACAAATGGTTGTTCAGATTCATAGCCAGAGTTTGATTCTATAACTGTCTTTAGCAGTCACTACGGCAAGGAGCATCAGTAGACGCTTGCCTTTTGGAACCACTGACCTTGCAGCATTAATCCTTAAAATTGACAAGGCACCAATAATGAAATTGGTGAAGACCCATTTCAAATCATCAGCAACCAAAAAAAAAAAAGCACATTTCAAAACATGAATTACTACTGTGTGAATAAGTGAATAATGCATTTACCACTCAAATATCCAGTGAAAACGCACGCATAACATGTATCACTGCTTATAAGAAAAAGTTAAGAACCACCGTTGAAAATGAGGCTAGAAACTTTAACAGTTATCTTACTTTTAGGAATATAAGTTTCAACAATCATTACAGCAATACTACAAGCGTGAAGAAACAAGACTAACTTTCCTCCCAAGTTAACGGAAAAGCAATATGTATAAGATCCATATTGAAGCTAAACTTACATGTGGTTTGGAGATCAATAAAGCTTCGAATACTCAGATGGCATGTAACAGTTCAGACTATTGATATACCAAGTACCAATGGTATGCCATCAACTCTAACCAAATGGATACTCATTTCAGGACCTAAAACTTCCACTGAGCATCATTATGGACACTTACAAACTTCAAATAAGTTCGCCACAGAACTTTATAAGTTCTAATGCCTCATGAGAACATTACAAAGGGCTCCTTTGATTAAAAAAAAACTTGTTTTTCTATAAAATAAATTAATGGAGTCCTAGCCTACCAACAAGGATAAAAGGGGATAAGATAGCAGGACAATGGACCTGCAGTTATTTCATGTTTTCTGAAGACTTACAAAAGTCAAGAGGGTGAAGAAATTTTACAGGAGGATGATATTTTATAAATAAGAATTTCAGACATGACAGGTCTAACTCTTAAGAAAAGTTTGTCAATTCCATTGGGTGAAACAAATTCTGTATGGGGAGGACATGCTTCACAAATGAAAAAAAAAAAGGAATTTCAAACAAGACAGGGTCTTAACTCTAAAAAGGAGTTGTCAGTGTCATAATATTTCACAGAACAATATATACTGTTTGAGCAGCATAACTTAGAAGTGGAATTTGTCAAGTGCCAGTGAAAATACTCTGCTCACACCATTATTAGGAGGGGGGAAATTAGCTTATTCAGCACAGACAGTTGAATGAGTTGGCTATCCATAAAAGATAAATGTACTGTCCCTTTAGTGAAGATTAGGGTAAGAGCAATTGTGTCTCTAAGTGCATATAAACCACAAAACTACAAAATACAAAGGCTAAATAACATGTCACAACTTCGTTATTCTCATGATGCTATTAGTTACTTGTACTACGGTAGCAAAAGTAATCCAACATATAGGATATGATAAGATTGCATGGCAAGACAATGTAAAAATGTATTACCTCCATTTTCATTTATATGATGTTAGTTAGTTCAAAAAAAAGGAGGAAGCAATATGCATTAATTTGACGACAATTTTAGCCTTACCTACAGGCTACAGAGAATACACCCTAGAAAGCTGGCGCCTTGGCCTCAGCATAATCAAACATTGACATCCTAATCCATGAATCCCGTGAACTTAATCTTCCCCTCGTACGCTTTTACAACATCTGGCACATCTTCCTCATACTTCCTCACAAATCTCTCAAAGAAACTTATATTGCTACGCTGCAAGGGTCTCAACAAGTCCATCTCTCTCCCATATCTCTTAATCTTCCCCTCCCTCAATAGCACATTCAGCACGGCACATTTAGGTATGATGTTCTTCTCCAAGCTGAACGTCAAGAGAAGAGGATGTGCAATCACATCTGCCGGTGCAACCTTCAGCTTTTCCTGGTAGAAACTGAGCTTCCGCTGGATAGTTTTAGCTGTGAACACTAGTATACCGGGCTGCTCCCTGAATGCCTTGAGCAACTCGCTCCTGGAAACCCCAAATCTCATGAACACGGACATCCGTTCCTCCCATGCCCCCCTCTTGAGTCTGGACAGTGCCCAGAAGCCGTACACGAAGCGCGAATGCGAGATGGGCAGCTCGAGCGCCTCCAGGTCCCCAAAGATCCCGTCAATGCGGTCGGGTGACATCGTGAGAGCGCTGAGATTGATGACGACGAGCCTGGAGATGTTCGCCTCAGCGAGGCCGTGGCGGCGAAGGGATTCCACGGCGGGGCGCATGCTGCTGTTAATGTCGCACCAGAGTGCCCAGGGGTTCCGGGAGATGGCCGCGCAGAGGTTGGCGTCGGTGCCAACGACGCCGCGGATGAACTCGACGCACGGGACGAGGTGCTTCTCCAGGCTGCGCGCGAGGAGGGGTGCGCGGGACAGTGCCGAGGGGACCACCCCGAGGGAGGCGAAGTACTCGAGCTTTGGCCGGAGGATCTTGTCCGGGTTGAGGATGAGGAGGCCCGGGATTTTTGGGAGCACCTGCGCGATGTTGGCGTCGGAGAAGCCGTGGCCGCGGAGGAGGGAGACGACGGCTTCGGCGTCGGCGTTGGAACGGAAGCGTGCCTTGCGGGAGATCCTGGCGGCGGCGGCCGGGGAGAGGCCGACGGAGGCGACGAGGTAGGAGGCCGCGGCGGCGGATTCCGCCTCAGGGGTTCTTGCTAGGGGGGACGAAGAGTAGCGATGGGTGAAAAGCGTGGCGTGGTGGTGGTGGTGGTTAGGGTTTGCGCCGGCCGCGGCGGCGGCGGAGGCGCGGCGGATGAGGACGAGGAGCCGGCGGCCGCCGGCTGTGGGGAACATGCCTGGGATTTCGAAGCGCTAATGCGAGTTTGCGACTGTTAGAAAGCGGCTTTAGGTTTTAGTCTGCTGTTTGGATGTGGAGAGTTGGAAAGGGAGAAGGGTTTGAAATTTGAGTTTGATTTTCTTTAGATAATGGATTTCCATTAATCCCTCTGTATCCACGAGGGATATACATAGCTAAAAAGATACAAGAGCACTTAGATTTACACCTCAACAAAGAGGAGAACACACAACAAAAAAAACCAAAAACCTACAACCTTGACACATCCCTGCATCCCAACATTCTCTCTTGAAACAGTCGAAAACGACGAGTGGAAGTCGTCTAGTCGCCACCGCCCCTAGTGCATTGTCGCTGCGAATCTCCATTGGTGCCATCTTCATCTGCTTCAAGTGAACCGATGCCACGCGCCGCTGGGTAGTCCACCTTCATCCATCGTCGTCTAGTCAGAACTAGCCATCCATCATCGTCCACTCAGAACTAGCCAACCAGACGCGAGCTGAAAGGATCTGCTTCGCCGGATTCCTAAGCCTCCGCCACCCATAGGGTCACTGCCAACGTTAGAATCCTCCTCCTCTCGGACTCCGAGCCCGCCGCCACTTCTGCCGGCGTCCTTTGCCGTGGTCAGAGAGGATATCATCTTCCGCCTAGACTCCTAGGCCTCCGCCGCCCCTAGGGCTGCCGTCACTAACTGGATCCACCTTCACCTGAACCACCTTGCACCGGCGCTTACGCCACCGCAACCGAGGAGGTCACTGCTCGAACTCGAAAGCCGTCGCCGCCCCTAGTGTAGCCGCTGGCTACGAAACCACCTTCGCTGGAACCGCCTTTCCTTGCCGAGGACTGGGCATCGACACTAAGGCTGTCACCGTTCTCCATTGAACCCACGGTCACTCGAAGAGTCGTCGCCGCCGACATCTCGCTGACCAGCCACCGCACTGCCTCCCGACCCCTCCGCTGCTGCGCGCCAAGTGCATTTCAGCCACCGCCGCTCGCCAACTCCCGCGCCTCTGTCCCTCCCAACCACCTCCGCCGCCGCGTGCGGCCCGGCCAGCCACCGCCGCCCATGGCCCCGCTACCTCCCGCATCGCCAGATTTGTAGGCCGGAGCCCCAGACCCGGTAAACCCCTAAACCGTGCCGTGGTCTCCGCAGGAAAGCCCCGCCGCCGCCTTCCTCGCTGCCGCCCGGCACGCCGGCAGCTTGCTCGGGCGGTGGCAAGGCGAGGGGACGAGGAGGCGAGAAGGAGACAAGGAGACGCTATGTGGTGAGGCGAGAAGGAGACGATGCGACCTCTCCATGTGTGAAATTTGAGTTTAATATTGGGCCACTTATTTTATAAAGATTAAATTTCATTAAACCTACTCCCTATCACCTACTCCCTCCGTCCCATAAAAAACAAATTTAGGACCACATCCGGTACTAGGTTGATTTTTATGGGACGGAGGGAGTATTATATTGTCCAAAGTTATATAAAACCATAGGTATTTTAATATGTGACATATAATGTTAGGTATTATGATCTAAAGTTTCATAAATCACATTATTAACTATTTTGACATACTCCTAAATCAAAAGAGAAAAACGGATGCACCATTTATATGATGGATAAAATTCTCATAAATTTAAGATGTGACTGTACAACTTAAAAATGTGATAGGCCAAAGTCAAAGTGATAAGTAATGTGATTCTGTAAAAACGTTAGGATCGTAATAGTCTAAGGGTAGGTACCATGTGTGTCAGGGTTATTGATACCACATATCTAATAGTAGTTGACTAAATCTCGGCAGGACCCACCACATACCATGTCTTATACGGGAACAACCTTCGGATATAGTAGGAGTTTCACGTAAGAAAGGATGAATAGAGTTCTACATGGAAACGACAAGGACTAGTCGGATTGTATCCATATTGGTTTCCCTAGTTCTACTTGGAAAGGGGACACCTATGGGTATAAATACAAGGCCCCCTAGGAGGAGAGGGGACACAGGCAACATGGACGCCACAAAGCCACAAGCCAATACAAGCCTACATACGCCAAGACAAGCTGCCAGATATCGACATCAGAGATAAGCCTAGGAAAACCCAATATGGTACCTACGGGAACCGAAGAGAGGAATCTAGTGCTATCTCTGACCTCGCCGGGTACGGATTCGAGGAGGAAGGCTACCATGTTGTCGACTACGAGTCAGCACTTTAGACCGCCAAGTCGACAACAGATAGATAGGCTACCTCAAATATTATACTGGTGTGATTATGGTGAATAAGAGCAATGACCGGCTTCGGCCAACAGGAGTAGGGTTATTACCTGACAATTCAGGGGCCCGAACCTGTATAAAAATCCCTGTCTCCATCTTTTTTATCTCAATCTCGCATATACCCTAGTACCAACGATCCCCATACTATGCAAATACTGGAATCGCGACATCAAACGTCGACAATGTGTACAGGTTCTTGTGGTTTCATGAAACTTGGACCATAATAGGTGGGGTTTTACTCTTTATAAAATTTAGGAAAAAGTATGAATTACCTCTCGAACTATCGCGGTCGACCGAATTATCCCCTGAACCCGAAAACCAGACATTGCTCGCCCTAAACTTTCAGTACCTAATGAATTACCCTCTCGATCCAATCCAGAGCGGTTTTGTCCTACGTGGCATACCATTCAGCATTTGAAAAAATTGGTGGGACCCACCGGTCATACCTCCTCTTCACCTCTTCCTAATCTCTCTCTCTCTCTCTCTCTCTCTCTCTCGCGTGCAAGGGCGCGGGTGCGCACGGCGGCATGGAGGGGCAGGCGGCAGACGGCGGCACGTGGGGGTGAGCAGTGGACTGAGGCGGCGGCCGCAAGGCGAGGGTTGAGGTAGGCGTTGGTCGCGCCGACACGCGGGAGTGGGGATGGCAACAGGGAGAGCGGGCCGGGCGCGGTTGTTGGGGTGGAGGATGCGGCGGCGACGGTGGAGGGGGACGGCGAGGGGGCGAAGAGTGTTTGCTCCATGGCTTTGGCAGGCTCCTGTACCGCACCGCGCTCGCCACCGTCTTCCTCGAGGGCCACATATTCCTCTTCATCTCCGTCATTGGGTTGCGCTCCAAGTTCGCCAAGTTCATTCCCAAGCTCATCCGGATATCGTCGTCTACCGGGATTGGGCTCTTCTTGGCGTTCATCGGGCTGCAGAGCAGCGAGGGCGTGGGCCTCGTCGGATTCAGCTCGTCGACGCTCATCACACTCGGCGCATGCCCGGCGTCGCAACGCGCTTCCGTGGCGCCGGTTGTGACGTTCCCCATCGTCAACTAGTTGATGTTGGGGACATCGCTGGTGACAGCGTTCATCGTGTCGTCAACGGGGATCAGGGTGGGGCGGGAGGACGGGGCTCACCGCGGCTGCGTACTTCACTGAGATCCGCCATTGAGAGGGTGGGAGGGGAGGGAGATCGAAGGGGAAGATGAGGTGGCCAACGCTTGCCTCTCCACCACACCCCTCCTCACCGTCGCGCCGTGCGTGCTGCTATGAGCGCTGCCGTCTGCGCCGATCGCCCGCCCGCCCACCCGCCCACCGCACGTCCCCGCGCCGCCACCCACCTCCCCGCCCTTCGTGCTGCCCCATGAGAGAGAGAGAAGAGAGAGGAGAGAGAGGAAGAGGGGAAGATGAGTATGACGGGTGGGTCCCACATTTTTTTATAAATAAAATGCTGACCGGATTGCCACGCATACGCCACGTAAGACAAAACCACTCTGGATTGGGTCGAGAGGGGTAATTCGTCCGGTATTGAAAGTTCAGGGTGAACAATGTCTGGTTTTCGGATTCAGGGAGTAATTCGATCGACTGCGATAGTTCAGTGGGGTAATTCATACCTTTTCCTAAAATTTACTCTATTTCAAACTACAACTGACTTGACAGTAGTAACATTTTCTGAAATGCAATAATATCCTCATCCATATGCAGCTTAGATTAATAGCTAATCCCTCCATCCTATAATATAATAATTTAGTACCGGACGAGAAATTTCATAGTAAAATGAATCTAGACGTGTATCTGTTTATATTCGTTATACTATGCAATATAGGGATGGCAGTCGGGCACGACGGGCACGGATAGTGACTACCCATACCCGTGCCCGCGAGGTAATTCATGCCCGCGGGCATATCCGTTACTACATGACGGGCAAGGAACACTACCCATGCCCGTTGTCCGCAGGCGCCATGTGCTCGCGGGCATGCGCGTTTACCTGTCACAAACTCACATTTCAACATTTCAACCACAAATCTCTACAAGCAGAGAGACATTATCGCAATTTAAAGAAAGGGTACAGTTGTACCAAGTTCAACAATACAAGCATTACAAGTTTATCAGTACTAGATGGTGGCATTTATACTAATTTAACTGAGTGACCACATGTCAATTGGTTTTTGCCCGTGCCCGTATACCCGTTGGGTATAGGTTTTGACCTAATAAAAAACCCATGGGTACTAAATGGAGAACAAACCCAACTCTATTAGGGTTTTTACCCACGGGTAAACGGGCAAACGGGTTAAATTACCATCCCTAATACAATGCCTTATCTAATACTGTGTTGCTATATTATATATTATGGAACTGAGGAAATAATTAGTTAACGAGATATCTCAAACGTCTTATCTGATACTACGTTACTATATCATGCAACAGATAAAGTAATTAGTTAACGAGATACCTCAAACTCTGAAAAAAAAAGTTGCATCAAACATGTTTGTAATCGAATTCAATTCTTAATGCATTATAAAGTCAACACGATATGTAGGGAAATAATTATACAAGTACTCTAAGTGCTAAGGGCATCAGCAATGTTTGCTATCCACATCGGTATTAGCGTGGGCCCAGATGACAGGCGGTAATAGAGGGAGACGTGCTCCACATTGCTTATATCTGTAAGTTGGCAGTAAGGTGGGGTCCATGGGGTAATAAAAATTGTAGCAAGGACAGAGCATGCATACAACGGTTGGGAGAAGCAATGCTTTTGCTGTCAGAAAACACTGTGTACATGCATATTCTATTTCCTTGCTTCCGGTAGTAGGGGTATGACCCGGTTGTAGTTATGTACTAGCCCCACAATGCTTAATACCAGGTAGTAAGAGTGTATTTATTGCTTACTACCCGGTTTGCGAGCACATTGCTGATGCCCTAACAAAATCTCAAATAGGTGTAGTGGTAGGTAGAGTCGTGTGTAAAGCTGTGTTCGGCACACGAGGTTAGCAAATAATCCTCGGGCTTGTAAAACTAGGTGATTTATTAACGCATAATTAATTAAGTATTTGTATTTTTTAAAAAATAAATTAATATGATTTTTTAAAACAACTTTTCTATAATTAATTAAGTATTAGTATTTTTTAAAATAAATTAGTATTATTTTTTAAAACAACTTTCTTATAAAAAAAACTTTTGTAAAAACATACCGTTTAATATTTGAAAAACGTACTTGTGCGTGTGAGAAAAAAGAGGTGGGTTGGGAAAAAAGAGGAAAGAAAACAGCCAAATAGTACTTCACTAGTTCAAAATCTCCTATGCCTATAATCACATTCACACTAATCCATGTGTCAGCAAAATCTCAAGTAGAGGAAGCGCCAGAGATTTGGTGGTATGGTAGAGTCGTGCTTATACTTTAAGCATCAGAGTTTAAATTCTTGCGCTCATAATAGCATTCACATGCATACATTTTCAATATAAATTTATTGAGATTTATGGATTCATTGTTATGCCCCTATCCTTAGACTTGTGTTAAAAGGATTGTGTGCACCACAGAGACGATTGAACAGCGATTCACCTAAACCAACAGAGGTATGTACATCAAGCCAGTTGAGCGTTTCTCTACCAGCATGTTTCATAACTTCATCTATCTATACATAAAATAAAATTTTGTCTGCATTAATAGACGGCAAGGAGCATCAGTTGACGCCCTGCCGTTTGGACCGTTTGTTCGGAACCACTGTTGCAGGCTTGCAGCATCTGATCCTTAAAAATGAAAAGATGTCAAGATACCTATAATTAAACTGATAAATACACAGTTGTCATGCTTGTTAATTACCTCTCAAATCATTAGAGGGAAAATGTCACATTCCAAAACATGAGTTACTACTGTATGGATAACTGAAATACTGAATCATGTAGTTACCTCAGTATCCAGTGAAAACGTGTGCATAACATGTATCACTGCTGTATCAAACGTAAAAAATCACTATTCAATATGAGGCTAGAAACTTTAACAGTATTCTTATTTCTATCTAGGAATAAGTTTCAACAATCATTAAGGAATAAGGGTAGGCTAGAAACTTTAGCAGTGTGCTTATTTCTAGGAATAAATTTCAACAATCATTAAGGAAGACAACAAGCGTGAAGAAACAAGACTAACTTTCCTCCAAGTTCATGGAAGCAATATGGATAAGTTCAGGAATCATACTGGAGCAAAGAAAATAACATGTGGTTTGGAGAACAACAAGGACTCAAGTACTCAGATGGTGTGTAACAGTTCAGCCTATTGATATAGTACCAAGTATGATTTGTATGTCATCAACTCTCAACCAAATGGATATCCCATTCTAGGACCTAAAACTCCCACTAAGCAGAATTAAGGACACTGAAACTTTGAGCAAGTTCCTCACAAAACTTCACAATACCTCGCAAGAACAGTACATCAAACTAGTTCAAAGAAGTCACCGTAACTCCGCATTCACAATTCCAAGACTATCAGATACTCTTGAACATTCTTAGCAATCATACAACAAAGATTTGCAGATGACAAGTCCTAAGCACATGTTAGATGCAGGTTATTGTGGGTGGTTAACCTGGCAAGCTTCAAGAGCAGTACAGCACGATTACTGCAGTGTAATCTTCAATTAAAATATAGGGATAAATATATGTTTCTTCTCTTATGGTGGCAGTGGAAATAGTTCAAGTTTAGCATTGATCTGCATATCAATATACCAGTAATTAGTTTTCTTCTGATGTTCTTCATTCTACTATGTATTAGGGAGTAAATCCACTTATTTAGTGATCTGGAGAGCAAGGCTTAGAAGCTTAGTTCTTTGCCTTATAGGCATTGCAAGCCATGCCTCATGCCACTAGCTATAATTTTCCACTATACTTGTTTTATGATGTCCTCATTGTGCTAGCTTGCATTTTCTCTCAATGACAATGCCAGATTTATACGTAAAGCTGCAGGATAACCACATATAAGGAAACTCTGAAATCTGAACACTTGATAATCTACACAGACAAACCACAGATATTTCAGGTGTGTTGAAGAAAGAACTGTTTGAAAATCACAAATTAAGTTAATTTACGAGATTGTTTGAAATCAGAAAATGATAGAGGAATTGGCCTTAAAGGTATCACTACGACGTCATGTATCTAGGTTTCCCAAGACCAGAATACTTCAAAATGGAAACTGCTAAACTACAAATATATGATACTAAGTAACCATGGTCCAACAACAGAGTAATGCTGCTCCATGAAACAGCGTTAGAATTTAGAATCATATGCCTTGATCTCAATGGCTCTAAAAGAAAAACAGACAACCCAACCTGAAGTGATTTTGCTCCAGAAGAATAGCCTTTTGGCTTCCGTGGACTTAAACACCCTGACCCTGACCCTTGAATCCTTTGAATTTGATCTTACCCTCATATGCTTCAACAACGTCTGGCACATCAGCAGCAAACCTATCTACATACCTCCCTGAGAATGTCTTGGCACTGCCAAGCAATGCATGAAGCAACTGGATATCTGGATTAATCTTCCCCTCTCTCATCAACACGCTCAACACGGCACACCTTGGCAGGATGGTCTTCTCAAAGCTATATGCCATAACAACAGGATGCACCATTACCTCGCGCATTTCAAGCTTTAGCGCGTCGCGGAAGAACGACGCATTCTTTTTTATGGTCTCGTCAGCGCCAAGCAGTGCCGTGGGCTGCTTCTTGAAGGCCTCGAACACCTCACTCTCGGACAAGCCAAAGCTCCGGTACAGCGCCACCTTCCGCAGCCAGGTCGCCCTCCTCATGCTGCACATCGCGCGGAACGAGTTGGCAAAGCGGCCGTCCGTGATGGACATACCCATAGCCTTGAGATCCTCGAAGATTTCGCCGATGCGGACCGGCGACAGCATGAGCACGCCCATCTGGAGGACGAGGACTTTGGACACGTCCTCGCGGCCGGTGAGGCCGTGCCTGTGGAGGGCTTCCACCGCGGGGCGCATGCAGTTGTCCAGGCTGACCAGGAGTGCGCGAGGGATGCGGGAGAACCCGCGGCGGATCCCGTCGTCGCTGCCGATGATGCTGCGGAGGAACTGGATGGTGGGGACGAGGTGCTTCTCGAGGCTGCGCGCGAGGAGGAGCGGCGCGGTGGACAGCTTGCTGGGCTGGAACCCCATCGTGGCGAAGAACTCGAGCTTGGGGCGGATGATGCGGTCGGGATCGACGGTGAGGAGCAGCGGGGCGCTGCGGGCAATCCGGGCGACGTCCGCGTCGGAGAAGCCGTAGCTGCGGAGGAGGGTGCGGACGGCGTCCGCCTTCTCGGTGGATCGGATCCGGAGGCCGCGGGTGTTGGCGGCCGTGTGACGGGCAACGGCCGGGGGGAGGCCGCAGGAGACCAGGTAAGAGACGGTGTCGGGGCATGGCTCGGGGTCGGAGCCGCCGGTGACGGCGGTTGAGGAGTAGCTGTGGAAGAGGAGGGCGGCCTGGGGGTTGGACTGGACATGATATGCGCCGCCGCCGCCACCGCGGATTTGGGGGAATAGGGCGGCGAGCCGGCGGCGGCAGATGGCGGCGAACATGGTGATGCAGAACGGGGAGAGGAAGAGTGGGGACTCGCGAGGGTTTAGCCGTACTCCTTTTTTTCACGGTACCCCTTGGGATTAAGGGGATTTATTCTGAGTACTTCTTTTAATGGATAAATGGTTGTTATCCTAGACTTGGGCCTAAAACCTTATAAATTTCTTACTTCACAATTTGCTTCGGTGATTCGCGCTCCCACAATCTCAGCTCCTTCTCCTTAAACTCCAACGAAGCTTTAATAACATGCAATGCCCTGACAAAGTTAGGGTTTAGGGATAGAGGGTATCAACGGGTTTAAATGGATTGTTGTGGAAACAGTGATACGACTATGAATGAGAAATAATGGACATGGGTAGGCAACAATGCTAGAGAGCCGCGTGGATGAAGGAAGATAGCGGGCCAACGTTAATGGCGGGTGGTATTGGTGAATCTGGCTTAAGGCCTCTTTGATTTAAAGGAATGCTAAAAGATTTTTGGAGGAATGGGATTCCAAAGGATTTTTTTTCTTCAAGCCTCTTTGATTCATAGAAAAGGCAAGTATAAATTCCATAGGATTGCACTCCTATCAGTGGATTTCAAAGGAAACTAAAAAAGAGGTCAGACCTCTTGGAAATGAAGTGATGTGCAGATTCATTTGTTTTTCCCTATGCCTCTATCAAAGGGATCTTCTTATGTTTTCCTCTGTTTTCTCTTCCCATAGGATTTCAAAATCCTACCACTTCAAATCCTGTGTTTTTCCTATTCCTGCGTTTTTTCTATGCTGCGAATCAAAGGGGCCCTTAAGTAGAAGGAGGGCTAGGAAAGGGAGAAGAGGCTTGCTAGGGGTGCCTTGTCGGCACCTTTCGACCACCAGTTTAGCCGGGTGGTAGTGTGGTGGACGACAACGACACAGGAGGTGGGGCATCGAGCGCTCACTTGACCAAGTCATGGCAGCGGTAGGAGTGAGGAGGGAGGAGAGGAGGTGTTATGGTTATGGGGTATTGCATGAATTTCAAAGTGATCCAATCCGAAATTTGCAAGATTTCATATGGTGTTTCCCATCAAATAGTTAAGTTTTGATTTTGTTTTCTCAAATACAGAACCCAACAACTTGGAATTGATATGTTTTTGAAAAAAAAATGAATGCTAAAAATTATTATATTTTAGGATGGATGTATAACAACTTTTATTAGACCAAGTAGATTGTAAAGTTTTTTTAAGCAGAAACGTTAATACAAAAATTTTCTTCATAGCTTTGATAGATCTTCTTATTTCAATAGAACAACTGCAATATATTAGTCTTATATACATTTTTGCCATCTCTTCTTATTTTTCGTGAAATACGTCATTATGATTTTTTTAAGACCATGCATATATATTGGAAGAGCTTTCACCATCACGAAGTATTAGAGAGTCAACCATGATAAACTACAAAGATGGGCTAAATTCATAACTTGCAGGTATCAAGGCTAAAACATTGTCTTAAGGTGTGCAAGAAAATTTCAATTTTTCTGCAGCTTTAGAACTAAGAATTCTTTTTTTTAAGACTCAAGAACATTTTTATTAGAGATAGTCAGGGATCAGGGGAATAATCCCAAGTACATCGCCATACAAAATAAGTGAAAGCATTGTACCATCCTTGTTAAAAGGAAGGGTAACTAGACTAAAGAAACATGCTTCATAATGAAAGCAAACAGTGATAAAGATTGTCAATTGACAGGAAGCTGCGGCGTTGCCGCGACAACTACATCCAACGGCCTCTATAAATATCCACACTGCTTGACAAACCGGTAATTCCCTTCGGTTGCCTCCACGGAATGGCACAAATGAGAGGTTTGTTATTGCGTCGTAAATTTTGGTATGAGCTTCACCGAACACAGCAAATGATTTTCACGGAGTTCACCACTAAATCTAAATATGAGGAACACTGACTATAGTCCTGTGAACCAAGGTTGCACACGTGAACCGTGCTCAACGCGAATGGCGAACCCTGCATGGTACCCACTATTTGGAAGCAAAAATGAAGCCATCTCTAAAGTCTAGTTGACCTTCAAGTGAAAGATTAGGATGGCGACGAATGAACCATTGTCTTTTGACCTGAACGAAAGTGGTTGAGGAAGAGGTAGCCTGCAATTTGTGGATGTTGAATAAATTGCTTGATGGCCAAATCAACCAAGAGAAACTCCCATTCAGTACTAGGCCATCATCACTGTCGGGGCCATTGATTGAGTGGACAAGCACACAACCAATGCATTGACGACAACAAGTACTAGCAAAGGAATGACTAGAAGCGAGCAACAGGACGACAACCTTCATCTAGAGGCAGTCAACTTTCTAGTGATTACCTTTTTATCTCCATATGACCATATATTAGTGTCCCGGCCGATGTCATAGCGCAAAGCTTGTCCCCCCCCCCCTCCCCAATACTCCCGTCAACATCTTCCCTGCAGATCTGGAGCCAAGCACAAAACCACTGCACCAAACAACCACCATCGTCGAGGTCTTCAACTAGGAGCAACAACTCCCCTAAGTTGATTCTTCCTGACTGCCGCAAAAGCAGCTTTGGCAGTCGGCTTCCAAGCCGGAAGGAAGGGCCTACATCTCCACCTCCAGCCAAGATGTCGGTTGTGGGTTCTTCTCTCGAAACCTTCCATTTTGCCACCTCTGACAAATGAAGCCACCACCTCCTACAACCTTCATCACTTCCATGAGCTAGCACATGGGAAGAAGAAAACCCCAAAACAAGACTAGTTTGATCTATGAGATAATCCGATGTAACGCCCCGATTTTCGTTCGGGTTTTAAATCATTAAATAATGCATTTTCTGGAAATTAAATAAAAGTTAAAGCAATTTAATCAAGTGAAATAATGGGAGAATTAAAATTTTCCCTTAAAAGTCATTGGCCGGGAATATTTTTTAATATTCTTTGTGCCCTAATGTACTCTCCGGAATTTTCCGTGAATTTTCGGAGCTCGAGAAATAGTTTTAAAGTCACGAAGATCATTTAACCAATTAAAATAAAAAGAAAACAAATAAAATCCTCCCTCCTCTCTTTGGGCCCCTTTCGGCCCAATTCCCCCCCCCCTCTCTCCCTCTCGGGCCGGCCTTCTCCCTCGGCCCGCTCGGCTCTCTCTCTCCCTCAAGTCTGCTTTGCCTCCCCAGCCGGCCTCTCCCTCCCTCTCTCTCCGACAGGTGGGACCCGAGGCCCCACCTGTCATCTTCTCCCCCAACCGTCTCCTCCTCTCTCCTTCCCCCCGAGCCGCCGACAGGTGGGCCCCACCTGTCGGGGTCACCCCCAACCTCCAGCCCGGGCCAGCAACTGCCATGGCCGCCCAAGCCGCCCTCGTCGCCGCCCCTCCCCGCGCGCCTCCCGGTTCCCGCGCACGTGTGGGCGCGGTCCACCCCACGTCCTCTCCTTCCTCCACTTTATCCCCCATTTTCCCCCAAAAATCGGCGCCGTTCGAGCCCCACTCGCCCACGTCGCCGGAGCTCCATCCGCCGGCCGTTGCCGCCCGTCCGGCCACGATTTCTCCTCCCCGAGCCTATAAAAATGATCCCCGTGCCACCCTCCCCCTTTTCCCCAATTTTCCCGAACCCGCTGCACTCCCTACCGCTCTCCCCACGTTGCTCCCGCGCTCCGCCGCTTTCCGGCAAGCTCCGGCTGCACGCCGCCGTAGCTGTAGCCGCCGCCGCGCCGCGCCGCTTGCACCGTCAGCTCCGCTGCGTCGTGCCGCACCCCGGCATCCACCCCGTTCTCTCCTTCCACCCCCGCAGCACCATTCCCACCGCGAGGCCGAGCTTCCACCGCCGTTCGCCGCCCCAGCCGCCCGCTACTGCCGCCCTAGGGGCCGCAGCGCCGCGCCGTTTGTGTCGTCGGCATTGCGGTGCCGAGCTCTACCCCGGCCTCCACTCCGTTTGCCCTGTCCAACTCCGAAACGCCGCCGCCACGTGCGTCATCCCTCTTCACCACCTCTCTCCGCCGCCGCCGCCGACTCCAGCCGCGTCGCGCCGCCGCTTCGGTCGACGTCGACTCGCGCCGTTGCCTCCCTCAGCTCCGCAAGGACGAGGAGGACCTCGGCCGCCGCCCCTCTTCGCCGGAAATCCGCCGGAGCTCCTCCTTCCTCGGTCGCCGGTGAGCTCTACCTCTTGTCATCGCCATCGGCCTTCGTTTCCAGTCACCCCGCATCGGTCCTCCCCTCCCTAACTCCCTCCTCTCCTTCTGAAGGTCAAGGGCGACCCCGTCCGCCCTCCGTCCTCGCAAGCCGCCATTGGGCAATCGTCGTCGCCGTCCTCTTCCTCCGCGTCGGCCGCCGCTTCCGGTGAGGATCTCTCCTCCCTTCCTTTTTTTTTCCCGTCCCCCTTTCTTGCCGACCGCCGCCTCTTGGGGTGCGTCGCCGTCCCCGTGCGCGCCGCTGTCCTCCGGCCGCCCGCCGCCGTTCCACGTCGCCGGCTGCTGCAGCCGGTTGCCGCCTCCCCCTTGCCGCCGCCGCGCCATGTCTCGGCCGAGCCGGCTTCATGCCGTGCCCGTGCCCCAGTCGCGCCGCCTCGTGGCCGTCCGATCGGCTTTGGGCCGATCCGGGCCGTCGGTTCCCGTGGACCGGCGGTGGACCGCCTCGGTGGTCCCGGTCCACGGTGGACCGGCGCCCTTGTGCCGCTGACCGGTGGGGCCCGCTTGCCGGCGCCGCCCCTCCCCCTTGATGACGTCAGCGAGGTCCATTTCCTTTGTAAAAATAAATAATAATTGCGAAATAAATCGAGTTTAATTATAGAAATTCATTTAAATGGCTCAAAACTTCTAAAATTCATACCTAATTCATTCGAACTCCGAATTGAGCCGTTCAACTTGCAAAATTCATCTAAAATTGAGCTCTACATGTTTGTTTAGTTTTTATGTACTGTTTCCTTGGTTTTTATTAGAGTTTTTCCTCGTTTTGCGTGCCAGCGTGTAGTTTCCGTCGTTTCGGAAGTCCGCGGTCGCGAGGAAAAGAGTTCGGAAGATTGTTTGAAGAAGCAAGGCAAGTCACACATTCCCCTTGAGCATTTTGATCCTAATTTACAAATGTTTTACTGTTTGCAAATAAATATGCATGTTTTGCTAATTACACGGGGTCAGGGTATTACCTATCTGCTCGCTTGTGCCATGTTTACTTGATATCTGTTCTTTGTCAACTTTGGGTAATGAATCGACTAGCTCATGTTACTTATGTGACTTAGCTAGAACTATATGCTTAGCCATGCTTAATTACCACTAGCTCAGTTGATGGGATAATTGCAGTATTAGACCTCCTAGTATCATGACATGACGAGCTGCGTGCTCGAGACATCTGGCCATGCTTCATGGTCGTAATTATCCAACTAAAATGCGACTGAATGGTGGGCTGTGGGTGCATGGTTTTGCTAGTCGCACCCATGGCAATTAAGGACCGGTTCGCGGGATGCCCTGGAAGAACTTATCGTACTTACCACAAGCCAGCGTGGGCAACGGCTGGGCTTGTAGCGTAGTTTTCCTCTAGCCGACGCATCCAGGCAAGGGTGGGCGTGATGGAGTTTGGATGGGCCCTGCGACGGCCTATGCGGCTTCCGGATTCACCTAGGCACGAGAGGGGACTGCCCGCTGCCTTGCGAGGAGTGGGGGTGAAACCTGAGGTGTGGTGTGCTTGGCTAGAGGGGGTTATGCGAAGGGTCCTGTCACGGCCTCTTTCCGGTATGTCGTGGTGGCATGTCGGCGCACGGAAACGTGTCGTGGGGCTGTGTCTTGTGGGTACAGTTGTACACCTCTGATCAGAGTAAAACTATTCGAATAGCCGTGCCCGCGGTTATGGGCGGTCGACCAGATTCACCGTGATTAGTCCCACCTTAATAAATCGACCCAATGCACTGTAGTTCAGGTGGGTTGGTTGGGCCTGTTCAACGTGGTATAGCGTTGATCAGTGCAGATTTAATGTTACTTTAATTACTCAACAGTTTTACTGTTTTGCTCAATAAAATGTTTTACAACCGCCTTTATGCAAATAGCCACAAACCGTCCTTGTGTTCCCCTTGCACGTCTGCATCGTTGGTGTGGCTTGCTGAGTACGGTGGTTGTACTCAGCCTTGCTATTATTCCCCCTTTCAGAAGTGTAGTGCTTCTGAGCTGAAGATGGAGTTAGAGGACCAAGGCTCATACCCCAGTTGAGTTTTGCCTGTGGAGTGGAGCTGAAGCCCCGCTAGGATCGCCTTTTCCGCTGCTGCTGCTTTTGTTTCGGTGTGAGGAGTAAGTGCCTCTTCTGTAAGTATTTTACGCTTTATTTACGTTTGGAACTGTATATTACTTGTCGGTTTGTGTACCTTGGCTGGTCCTGGACAGGGATTTAATACACAAAATAGTCTGGAAATTTGGGCTAAATTTCTGGGCGCGACACCCGACTATAGAAAACTCTAACCTAATCTATACTAAAGAACTAGTAGAGTAGATGCTCGACCCCTCTTCCGGCCATCACCCATGGTGAGCCGCTAGAGTTGGGGGAAGAGGGGTCAGGAAGATTTTTTTTTTCTAACTCTCTCTAAGCCTCCCCTACTCTCAAACATGCATTTCGATCACCTCTTCACAGAACAAGCAAAACTCTGAAAATGAGAATTCAGATACTCCTGTCGACGGGTGATACCCGCAGACCGGATATAGAGGGTATTGGGGTACGCTGGTACAAGGATCTACGTAGTACGACATCGAGCAATCAAAAGACAAGAATTATACTGGTTCAGGCCCCTTGACAGGTAATAGCCCTAATCCAGTTGATATGGGATTATATGGTGGAAAACACAGGTTACAAAGGAAAAGATGAAACTTGTCAGATCCGGCGAGATTGTAGTCGAGTTGATTTGACTAGCTCTCGACGACTTGGCTCCTCGTAGGCTCCGGCTTCGTAGGCTGTGTGGGTTGTGTTGGCTCTGAGATTCGATCCCCTATGCCCTCCCCGGGGGGTCCCTTTTATATCGCAGGTCTGGTGCTCTCCGAGTAGGACTCGAATATACCAGACCTAGCACGATACGTAGGTAACCCAGTTCTTATCCGAGAAGGACTTTTCCCGTCTATTGATTTTGTGAAAGGTTTCCTTAGATCATAAAGGAAATATCCGCGTGCGCGTGGGTATGCCATGTCGATACGTAACGTATATCGAAGGGTAGGGGGTATGCCTGACCCGTAACCCTGACAGTAGCCCCCGACTTCTGCTCAAAAATAAACTCGTGCGGCCATTCGCGACTTCGGATGTCGAGAACGTTATCATTCCGGGTGCGAGAACCGCGGAGATGATGTGTAATCGAGCATACCGTTTGAAGCCCAACGGTCACGAGTGAATTTTGAACTGAAGTCCAAAAACTGCCGCGCGTAACGGACCTAGAAATTTCCGGCGGGGATTTCTCTCAGTTCCTTGGAATTCGCACCGTTGGGGGTGCGCCTATTTAAAGGGATTTTGGGTGCGCATTTGTAAGTCCGCCAACTCCGTCAAACACACCGCCTGTTAGCACTCCTCGCCTTCTCCGCCGCCGTAAAGAACCCTAGCTTCACCAGCTCTAGGTCCATCTCCGGCGATCTTCCAGCAGCGATGGATCTCGGCAAGTCGGCTTCCACCAGCGCGACCCTGAAGAAGCTCCAAGAGGACGGCGCCCTTCCTGGCCGTGAAAAGGCAGAGAGGGAAGCAGGAGGTACTAATCCTCAGCCCATCTTAGGTCGTATGGTTACGATCGAAGATTATGTTGTCTGCGGGTTTCTCCCTCCACCCTCCGAATTCCTTCTACTGGTTTTGAATTTCTATGGGCTTTCTCTTCTACACTTGAACCCCAATTCCATTGCTTTCCTTAGCGTCTTTGTGCATCTTTGTGAGGCCTACATTGGGGTAGAGCCCTTTCTTGATCTGTTCCGCTTTTATTACGAGTTGCGCTGGATGGAATCCAATAGGGTATCCGGTTGCGTCGGGTTCCGACTTCGTGATGGCATGAAGTCGCGTTATGTCCCCTTCCAGTGTCCCTCTTCTCTCAGCAAATGGCGGAACAGGTGGTTTTACCTTGAGATCAAGGATTCAAATCCGGTCCTCGTTATTCCCGAGGAACAACCGGACAAGATTCCGGTCTGGACCGCCAAGCCCCCCTTGACCCCCTCTCTCCAATCATTTATCGACATCATCGATGATCTCCGAGAACGGGGCTTATCGGGATATGAAGTCGTCGCAGACTTCGTCGGTAGGCGAATCCAGCCGCTCTAGGGTCGGGCCCATCCGACCTATAACTATTATGGGCCAGACGACGCGACCCGGGTTTCTCCTCGGGGTATCTTTCTCGCATTCATTTAGACATGCTTGTACTCGCGTTCCTCTTCGACTTATCAAAAATTGATTCCTTTTTGACAGGTCTGAGCGGCGAAGCCGTGGAGCGGCGTGTTGGTCAGGTGATGATCAGCGGCCCGACCACGGCGAGCGACATCCCCGCGCCCCTTTGTGAAAAGGGAGCGACGGAGCGCGATGAAGCGATCAATGTGAGTTCATTCGATAGCGTCCCGCCTTCTCTGCTCGAAATCAGCTTATGAGATGATTTAGCGTAGGCCCTTCCTTTGACTGACGTCGTCGGACCGCTCGCAGATCATCAGGTGGCGGCACCTCTGAAGGAGAAGGTCGTCAAGGAGGCGTCTGACGCTGCCACCACTAGTGGTGGCGAAGCTCCGACCAAGGCGAGGAAATTCTCGTCTGTGCTCGGACATCGCCGCAAGGCAGCAACTCCCTCGGTAATTTCACCTTGTCGCTAGGTTATGTAGCAAGGAAGGTTTATTCTCACTCTACATTGGTTGTCTTGCAGGCTTCCGACGCGTCTCCTCCACCTCCGCGACGTCAGCGCATTGTGACGATCGGCGAGAAGTTAGTAAACAGATTTTTGGATTCTCGTGTCTTCTGTTCAAATGGAGTTTTGATTCGTGGTCGTTTGTAGGGAGGCGCGGGCGAAGGCTGCTTGGGCCAAATTTGGGGGAACGTCCAGCGCATCCCCTACCACGGTGTCGACAGATGTCGTGCCCGTGGTCGGGAGTCGGGAGGCGACGCCAAGCGGCCCTGTCAGCGATCCCGCTGGGGGTCGTAGTCTGCCAGAGGCCGTCCTCACCTGGGAGGAGCTCCAAGTTGAAATGGGGCGCCTTCTCGAAGCTGGTGCTCGAGGCATCGGCCGCGAGATCTCAGAGGCGAGGGCGGAGACGGCGGCGGCAAACGCGCGTGCCGAGCGGTTGGTGCGGGAACTGGCTAAAGCCCGCGAGGACCTCGCCAAGATGAGGGAGCTGGTGGCCGGGAACGAGCGCCATCGCAAAGGGCTCGAGGACCGCATGTCGGAACTTGGAGACAATCTCTCCGAGATCCGTGGTTCGCTGCAGGTCACCTACACCGGCCTCCACCAGCTCGCCAGGGAGTGCGGCGTTAAGTCTACGATCCCGGTGAACCCCGATGAGTTCTCGTTGACTTCTTCTCTTGCGGAGCTGGCGACGGCGATGGGGGAAATCCCCTCCAAGCATATGGCCAGGATCGCGGAGGAGACGTCCAACGGTATCTACACCGGGGCGTGTCACGTCCTCGCATGTGTAAAGTTGTCGCGCCCTGAACTCGATCTGTGTGAGATCTTGGATCAGGGGGTGGCAAGCGACACACGTAAGGAGGTGATGGAAGAAGTCAGTGACCTGGGGGAGTCTGTCCTCCCCCTTTTTGAAGAGTAGGACTTCTTGTATTTTTTTGTCATTTGTAAATCTTGAACTCTGGTTGCCTTCGTGCATATGATTACCATCCTTGTTCAATATTGATCTCGGAAGTTTTTCTTGTCGATTGTAGAGATGCTGATGACGAGGATGTCCAGCAGCGCGGGCAGCCTGAGTCACTGGCGATAATTCCGGTATTCGAATTTGAACCACACGTCTCACATGATGTCGAGGACCAAACTCTTGATGTGGAGGTCGAGATGACGACAACCACCTCAAGTGAGTAGCCTATTTAACTCCGTGTTGGGTTAGTGGTTTCCAGCTTGTCTTAGTGGTCGTTATGTTTAGCAGGTCTCGAGGATGCCCTTGCAACCCAAGATCGTCGCATCCAATATTGGAAGACGAAATTTGAAGTGGCGGAACTCGAGAGAACCATGCTAGTCATGAAGAAAGAGCAAGCCGTGGAAACGCTCCGAGGCCGCGAGGTGTGGTTTGCGTCATATTTAAAGAGTTGCTGTACCTCAATGGCCCGGGTATGCAGGGAGCTTCGAGTAGTCCGCAGCGATCCTGAGGAATCGGCGGCCAGGTACATCTCGTTGCTCAACGGGGCCTGTGCCCAACTCGATGGCATCGACAAGTGTATTGACGAGGCCTTGAAGCAAGAGTGTCGTCGAGCAAGCCGATATGCCGGAGGACATGTACTAGCTTGCCTGCGAGATCACCGCCCGCGCCTGGATCTTGAATTCCTCCATGAAGGGTTTGCTCGTTCTCGGAGGACTCCGGCGGAGATAGACCACCTTGCGAGGTCGATGTCGCCATTAGCCGAGAAGGTATTCCAGTCTATGGACTGGCATTGGCCCTCTTGGTAGTACTCGTGGCCTGTTACAGATGTCTTAGGAAAAAGTGTAATGTAGTGGGAGATTTATGTCAAAAACAGTAAGAATTATTATGTGTATAAAGAAATATTCCTTAAACAAACGCATCTTACTCTGGATGTTATGTGTTAGAGTGTGTTCTCAGTTAACGACCTCGGCCGTTTGAGTCATACACTCTCCCTAGCCCCCAGCCTTGTCGTCGGAGAAATTTTCTCGGATGATAAGGCTCTTGGACACTTGATCTGCCTTGGTTGAATAAGCTCTGATCCTAGCCCCCAGCCGTGAAGTTGGAAAGCTCGATTTCCGAGTACACGGCTTGGTTAATACGTACGGCGAGAACTCTTACACGACCAAATCTTACATGGTCTTTTGTCTCTGAAGGATCTGACAAGGCCTTATCGGCTCTGGGCGTCCCCAGCCGAAGATCCCTTAGGTTCCTCGGAGGCCTTGTCGAGACGGCGTAAAGGGTCATAAGGATAGGTTTCAACACTAGGTGTTATCAGAGTAAGGGATCGTCGGGTGAAAACACTTTGGTCGTGGTATGAAACCTAGAAATAGGCTTTATTGATACTGTAAGGGTGCTTACAGGTACGGCGTTATTGACTCATACATAGAATTTACGTAGTTGGTCAATGTTCCACGAATTTGCTAATTCGCGACCGTCGCCGTCTGCGATTTTGAATGCGCCTGGCCGCAAGACTTGTGTGATCGTGTAGGGTCCTTCCCATTTTGGTGAGAGTTTGTTTCACCCTGCTTGGGTTTGAACTCGTCGGAGGACATAGTCACTGATCGAAAGTATGCGTGCTCGGATGCGCTTCTCATGATAACGGCGGAGGGCTTGTTGATAGCTAGCTGCTCGAACGGCAACTCGCTCACGATGCTCCTCGAGAAGGTTTACATCGATGTCTCGCTGTTCCTCCTGGTTCTCGTCGGAATGCTTCTGTACTCGTGTACTTTGATGTCGTAACTCGCCAGGGAGCATGGCTTCAGAGCCGTACACAAGGAAGAAGGGTGTTTTCTTGTTGGATGTTGTTGGTGTGGTGCGTACGGCCCATAGTACTGATGGGAGTTCTTCAACCCATTTTTTGTCCTGTGACATGAGTCTGTCGTAGACGTGGGTTTTTATCCCTTGTAGTACTATGTCGTTTGCCCTTTCGATTTGTCCATTGCTTTGAGGGTGAGAGACCGAGGCGAAACATATTTTGACTCCCAAACCGATGCAGTAATCCTGGAAGTCGGCGCTGATGAATTGAGAGCCGTTGTCGGTTATGATGCAGTGCGGTAGTCCGTATCTGCAGAATATCCCTCTGATGAACTTAATGGCGTTGTCGGCCTTGATTTCCCCAGTGGGTAGTGCTTCGATCCATTTGGTGAATTTGTCGATCGCTACAAATAGGAATCTATAGCCGCCCTGTCCTCGTGGGAATGGCCCAAATATATCTAGCCCCCAGCACGAGAACGGCCAAGTCAGAGGGATTGTCTGGAGCGCTTGTGCAGGTAGCTTTGTGTGCTTGCTATGGAATTGACAGGCTTCACATCGCTGGACCATGTCGCATGCATCTTTAAGGGCGGTTGGCCAGAAAAACCCTTGTCGAAAGGCCTTGCCGACTAATGTCCAACCGGCGGCGTATGACCCGCATATGCCTTCATGTATGTCGAGGGAGACGCATTTGAAAAGTATCTCGTTTGGTGCTTTTTTGTATAAATCGTTACCGACCATACAGTAGATCTTTGCTTTACGGGTTATTTTCTCGGCCTCTATATCATCCTCGGGCAATTCCTCGCTGCTGATGAATTTGATTAATGGGGTGCGCCAGTCGTCTGTTATTTCGATGTCAGCAACGGCACGTTCTGCCTCGGTGACCTCCGAGCTAATGTCGGGGGTGCTCGGGCCAGATTTACCGTTAATTTCTTTTACCGATGGCTTCGTCAGGACGTCGAGAAAGGTGCCGGGGTCGAGCGGTTCTCGTCTGGATGCGCGTCGTGCTAGGTCGTCTGGCTCGACGTTCTCCTTGCGATAGACGTGTCGGACCTCGATCCCGTCGAACCTCTTCTCTAGCTTCCTGACCTCTGCAAGATACTTGGATAACTCGGGATTGGAGCATTTGTAGTCTTTGTGCACCTGGTTTGCGACTAGCTCAGAGTCCCCTTTGACGATTAGTCGCTTGGCCCCAAGTGCGGCTGCAGCTCGTATCCTGGCGAGTAGTCCTTCGTATTCTGCAGTATTATTGGTTGCACTGAAGTTGAGGTGGATTGCGTGCTTGAATTGATCTCCGGAGGGAGATGTCAAGATAAATCCTGCCTCTGCTCCTTGGCTGTTGAGTGCGCCATCAAACGCCATTGTCCATGTCTCGTTGTCGCCTTGGTTGTCTGACTTGTTATCTGGCATGGTCCAATCGGCCACGAAGTCGGCGAGTACCTGAGATTTGATGGCTGTTCGCGGCACAAAGTGGATATCAAATTGGCTTAGCTCGACTACCCATTTTGCGATGCGGCCGACAATGTCTTTGTTTCTCACAACTTCGCCAAGGGGGAAGGAGGAGACAACTGTGACTCTGTGGGCTTGAAAGTAGTGGCGTAGCTTCCTTGATGTCATGATGACTGCGTAGAGCAGTTTTTGAATCTGTGGGTATCTTGTCTTTGCGTCATGGAGAGTTTCGCTGACGTAATAAACTGGTCGTTGTACTTTCTCTCTCTCGACTACAATGACAGTGCTAATGGAATATGGTGTGGCGGCAATATAAAGAAATAATTCTTCATTAGGTTGGGGAGCAACGAGTACAGGTGGGTTTGATAGGTAGCGCTTGAGTGCAATAAATGACTCTTCGGCTTCCTGTGTCCATACAAATTTGTCTTGTTTCTTCAACAAAGCGAAGAAAGGCTGTCCTCGTTCTCTCATCCTAGCGATGAATCTGCTTAATGCTGCCATGCATCTGGTTAGCTTTTGTACCTCCTTGAGTCTTGTGGGCGACTTCATGTTCTCGATTGCTTTGATCTTCTCGGGATTTGCCTCTATTCCTCTGCCAGAAACAAGGAATCCGAGTAGCATGCCCGACGGTACTCCGAATGTGCACTTCTCTAGGTTGAGCATGAGGCGATATCGTCGGAGGTTGTCGAACGTTTCCCGCAGGTCGTCAATCAATGAGTCGCTTGTCTTGGTCTTGACAACGATGTTGTCAACGTAAGACTCGACGTTGTTGCCAAGCTGGTTGCTAAGTGTGCCCTGGACCGTGCGCTGGAAAGTATTTCCGACGGTTATCAGTCCGAAAGGCATCTTAACGTAGCAAAATACCCCGAACGGCGTAATGAACGCTGTCTTCTCCTCATCCTCTTTTGCCATGCTGATTTGGTGGTAGCCAGAGTAAGCGTCGAGGAAGCTTAATAGCTCGCAACCGGCTGTTGAATCCACCAACTGATCTATTCGGGGGAGAGGAAAGTGATCCTTGGGGCACGCCTTGTTGAGGTGTGTGAAGTCGACACACATTCTCCATTTTCCGTTGGCCTTCCGCACCATGACTGGGTTGGCTAGCCACTCTGGATGAAGTAATTCTCTGATGAAGCCAGCTTTGAGAAGTTTGTCGAGCTCTTCTCGTATGGCTTGTTTTCGGTCTGGTGCAAATCTCCACAGTCTCTGCTTTACTGGCTTGGCATCGGGTCGTACCATAAGTTTGTGCTCAATCACCTCCCTGGGGACCCCCGGCATGTCGGACGGCTGCCAAGCAAACACGTTGGCATTATCGCGGAGGAAGGTGATGAGCGCGAGTTCCTATTTTCTCGTCTAGTGTAGCCCCGATTTTGACAGTCTTGTCAGGGTTAGCACTGGAGAGCGGAACGATCTTGATGGGTGCCGTCCGGCTTGGGCGCCTTGTTTTGCTTGTTCACTTTCTTGGGTGGCTCAGACGTGGCGGGTGGGGTGGGCGTTTGCTCGACCATGTCGAGGCTCTGCCTGTCGCACTGCACCGCCAGCTTTGCGTTCCCCTGAATAGTGATTGTTCCCTTCGGTCCCGGCATCTTGAGCACTTGATATGCGTAGTGGGATGTGGCCATGAACCTCGCAAGTGCAGTTCTCCCGATGATGGCGTTGTAAGTTGTATCGAATTCAGCGACATCGAAAGTGATCTGCTCTGTTCGGAAGTTGTTGGCTTGGCCGAAAGTCACGGGCAACGTAATCTTGCCCAGAGGTCTGGACGATGATTGGGGAGTAATTCCATGGAAGGGTTGATCGGTTGGTGTCAACTCACTTTGTGGAATTCCCATTGCATCCAGAGTGCTGGCGAAGAGGAGATTGATCGAGCTGCCACCGTCGATGAGAACTCGTGCTACCTTGATGTTCCGAATAGTGGGTTCGACCACAATCGGATATCGTCTTGGGCTAACAGAGGTCTTGGGGTGGTCTTCCTCCGAGAACTCTATTCTCTGTTCAGACCACTTCATCTTGGGTGCAGCCCCCTGCCATGTCGAATAGACTTCACGTTCCACTTTCTTGTATTCCCGCTTGGAGGAGTACGTTGTGGAGCCGCCGAAGATGTGTGAGACATGGAGGTCGGAGTCTGGGTACGCAGAATCCGATTCGTGAGGAGGTGTCTCCTCGTTCTTCTCGACAACGCGTACTCGCTTGCCTTTTTCAAACGTCATGTGCTTCTCGAGCGACTTTTTGAAAACAAGGCAATCCTCCAGAGAATGTCTGTCCGTTTTGTGTATGGGGCACCATGATTTTTTTGTATCGCTGGCTTGTGGGTCTGGGCGCTTGGGAGGGTTCGCGTATTCTGCTGCGAGGACTTCCGCTTGAGCTTTCCTTTTCCCGTTTTTGCGATTTTTCTTCTTATTTGACTCAGAGGCGTCTGCGGTTGGTTTCTTCTCTCCCCCAGTCTTCGGCTTGTCGTTCTTGCGTCTTAGCGCGTCATCCACATGGGCGCACCGCTCAACGATCTCGAATAATCTTCGAGTAGTTGTGATGCGTCTTGTCGCCAACTCCTGGGTAGTGTAGCGATCTCTGACACCGAACTTGAAGGCGCGAATTACAGAAGCGTCGGTAATTTCGGGAATTGTGTTTCTGCACTCGTTGAAGCGCCGAACGTATTCCCTCAATGATTCCCCTGAGTTCTGTGTTAGCGCGTGTAAGTCGTATTCGATCGCGTGGCGCTTGTATGTTCCTTGGAAATTGGCGACGAACTGTTGCCACAGGTCTGCCCATGAAGAGATTGAATAGGGAGGAAGATGCATTAGCCATGAACGTGCAGAACCCTTCAACGCAGTTGGTAAATAGTTCGCCAACGCGTTGTCATCTGCTCCGGCAGCATAAAGCACTGTCGAGTAGACTTGAAGGAATTCTTCCGGGTCGGTGCTCCCATCATACTTTTCAATGGCCCCGGGTCGGAATCTCTCAGGCCGTCAGACATCACGTAGGGAACGACCAAAAGCTCTACACCCAGCACTGGGGGCGGTGGGTTGCCGGCGGTCGCGTGACCTTCGTGGATGTCTGTCTGATGATGAAGAGGACGCGGATGATGACGATGACGATGGGTCGCTTGGCTCCGGCGTACGATTACGAGGATGACGACCTGGATCCCAGGAATCTTGTCGTTGTCTCTCGCTGTTATTTCGACGCCGATCTCCTTCGTCGTCGTCGTTGCGGCGACGGCCATGACCAGTATTGTCTGGCCCCCGCCGTTCGCGATCGTTGCATTCTCGGTCCTCGTTTGGGCGGTCTCCTCGATCATGGCGCCGTGAAGAAACATGACGCCGAGAGCGATTTGCGTCATCCCGTGTGCGCCGTGCTTCTCGGCGACCATTAATTTGATCTCGAAGATCGCCAGTGCCACGAGGTGGAGGGGTAGCCTGTCGAGGCGATTCCCTCCGCTCCGGATCTTCACCATTGGGGTCGCCGATTGGTGGCTGATCTTGGTGTGCCGCGGTAACGGCCTCTTCGAATGCATTGCTGAGGTTGGTCACCGACTCCCGTAATCGTTCTGTCCAACGCTCGAGGTCGTCGTTCAGAACGGGATCGTAAGGAGTTTCCCTCAGTATAGCTTGAATAGCCCTGATGTGCTGGGCTGGAGTAATCGATTGATTCGCCGCTTCTGCGTTGGCTTGCGCTGTCGTGCCAACGTCATCGATAACTAGTACCTCCCGCGGCGCACTTGTTGTCGATGACCCGTAGTCTTCGAGGAGATGTAAGACCGATGGTTCGTGAGGATCGAGATCGATTACCCCAACGAATCGATCTGAGGCTGGAGTCGCTCCCTGTTCCTTGCCGTTATCCCTGACGGGGACGTATGACTTAGGAGACGGGGTTTTCATGGCGCCGAGGAGAACTTTGCAGCTCGAGAGATCGTGATTCTTTGTCTTTTGGATAGGACAATAGACATCCCGAGTTGGAGAAATACGCTGAATTCCACGTTCTTTGCAGGCGCGAAGTTCAGCACGGACGTTGATGAATACCCAGCAATCTTGAAGGGTATGTTTCTTGGTTTTGTGGATAGGACACCAAGACCTGATAGCTTCGGAAGTCATCTTTGTCGGCCCGTGATTTATGTCGGAGGGACAAGACTTGGCCGCATCAGAATCCTTCCCGAGTTTGGATGTAGTCGGTAATCCATTCTCCGTTTCAACGGGTGGATTTTTCGACATAGAGCCGTCTTGGTTCGTAGCCACTGCGTTCTCGTTTTCAGTCATTGAAGGACCGATTGAGATCGGCATCGTGGTGTAAACCGGGAAGACGATTTCGCCGACTTGAGTCCATACCAGCATTGTTGAAGTTGAGAGTGCTTGGCTGGAGCTGGTGTTGACGTTGTTGTCGACGAAGCTTGATGGCATAGTAGTAGAACCTTGAGTACCAAGTGCCCTTACCTGGCGCGCCACTGTCGACGGGTGATACCCGCAGACCGGATATAGAGGGTATTGGGGTACGCTGGTACAAGGATCTACGTAGTACGACATCGAGCAATCAAAAGATAAGAATTATACTGGTTCAGGCTCCTTGACAGGTAATAGCCCTAATCCAGTTGATATGGGATTATATGGTGGAAAACACAGGTTACAAAGGAAAAGATGGAACTTGTCAGATCCGGCGAGATTGTAGTCGAGTTGATTCGACTAGCTCTCGACGACTTGGCTCCTCACAGGCTCCGGCTTCGTAGGCTGTGTGGGTTGTGTTGGCTCTGAGATTCGATCCCCTATGCCCTCCTCGGGGGGTCCCTTTTATATCGCAGGTCTAGTGCTCTTCGAGTAGGACTCGAATATACCAGACCTAGCACGATACGTAGGTAACCCGGTTCTTATCCGAGAAGGACTTTTCCCGTCTATTGATTTCGTGAAAGGTTTCCTTAGATCATAAAGGAAATATCCGCGTGCGCGTGGGTATGCCATGTCGACACGTAACGTATATCGAAGGGTAGGGGGTATGCCTGACCCGTAACCCTGACAACTCCCTTTTCGGATTTTAGAAAGTTGTCAGAATAACAAAGTGACTACTGAATACCCTTCAATTGGAACGTGGGGCATTTTTTTCGAGATTTAAATCTTTTTCTACAAAATGGTTGTTTTCTAGAAAAAATATTTCAGGTAATGGCTAGAGTCTTTTTTTTCCTCAATTTTTTTTTAAAATATTAGTAATAACTATACTAAACGGATTAATAACTGTTTATTATAAAGAAAACCAGGGGAATCGATATTCAGAGGAAGATATCCCCCTCCATCGACTACTCGGCCGGCCACCTGCGCCGTCTCTACCCCGAGGCCCCGAGCGGGCCGAGCTCCCATCGTCTCATCGCCCCAAACCCCCCTCTCCTCGCCTCTCTTCCTCCTCTCGCCAAATGATGAAGTCCCTCTTCCTCTTTTCCGCCCACCCCAAGCCGCCTCCTCTCCCCCCATCCCCCCACCTCCGCAAGCTCCTCCGGCTCACCGCCTCCGCCTCCACATCCGCCTCCTCCCCGCCCCGCGCCGGCTGCTCTCGGGGCCCCGCCCATGCCAGGCCCCGGCCCAGCCCCCGCCCCTCCCCCTCCTCCTCCCTCTACGCGCGCCCCAGCCTCCTCGACATGGAGCGCGGCCGCGCCGCCCGCCGCGCCGACGTCGACGCGTTCCTCGCCTCGCTCGGCGTCGACCCGGGCGAGCTCGCCGGCCTCGAGCTCCCCGCCACCGTCGACGTCATGCGCGAGCGCGTCGAGTTCCTGCACTCCCTCGACCTCTCCAACGAGGACCTCGCCGCGTACCCGCTCGCGCTGGGCTGCAGCGTCCGCAAGAACATGGTCCCCGTCCTCGACTACCTCGGCAAGCTCGGCGTCCGCCAGGACGCGCTCCCGGACCTGCTCCGCCGCTACCCGCAGGTGCTCCACGCCAGCGTCGTCGTCGACCTCGCCCCCGTTGTCAAGTACCTCCAGGGCATGGACGTCAGGCCGCACGACGTGCCGCGGGTGCTCGAGCGCTACCCCGAGCTCCTCGGCTTCAAGCTCGAGGGAACCATGAGCACCTCTATCGCCTACCTCGTCGGCATTGGCGTGGCAAGGCGGCAGGTTGGCAGCGTCATCACCCGTTTCCCAGAGGTGCTGGGCATGCGGGTGGGTAAGATCATTAAGCCTTTCGTCGAACACCTTGAGGGCATTGGGTTGCAGAGGCTAGCTATTGCAAGAATCATCGAGAAGAAGCCATATGTTCTTGGTTTTGGGTTGGAGGACAAGGTGAAGCCTAATATTGAGGCGCTTCTGGAATTTGGGGTGAGGAAGGAGGCATTAGCATTCATTGTGGCACAATACCCAGACATTCTTGGAATTGAGCTGAGAGACAAGCTTGCTACACAACAGAGCTTGTTTGAGTCTAGCATTTTGGTCAGCAGTGAAGATTTTGGTAGAGTGATAGAGAGGATGCCACAAGCCATTAGCCTTGGCCGAACTGCAGTTCTAAAGCATGTTAATTTCCTTACATCTTGTGGCTTCTTGCTCTCTCAGGTCAGCAAGATGGTCGTAGCATGCCCACAGCTGCTCGCATTGAACATGGATATAATGAAGATGAGCTTTGAGTACTTCCAGAATGAGATGGAGAGGGATTTGGAGGAGCTGGTTGAATTCCCTGCATTCTTTACATATGGCCTTGAGTCGACTGTAAGGCCACGGCATGAGATGGTGGCGAAGAAGGGATTCACATGCTCTCTTGCATGGCTTCTAAACTGTTCTGATGCCAAATTCGATGAGCGCATGAAATATGATACGATTGGCATCGAGGAAATGGAAGTTGATAACTCTTTTGACACGAACACTTTGTCGGAGCGAGTAGAGGATGAGGTGGAAGATGAAGATCTGGATGAGGATAGTGATTATGACAGCACCGATGATGAGTTTATTGAGTAACATGCTTCAAGTATCAACTGTTTGCTGACGAACTTGCATGTAGGTCTTCAGCTTGATGCTCTGTTGTACATGATATGATGCAGTCATGCGGTCACTAGGTGGTTGTTTTTGAAGGATTGGCTTGATCAACAAATGCTGGATATATAAAATTGTAGCTTAGAGGTCCAATGCATTCAGATATCCTTGATCTGTGTAGTGCTGTATTGCTCATATTTGTTACTGACAAGTTGGCATTTCCATTTAGAAACATATTTTTGAGAAAAAATACCTCGTGTGGACAGTTCATATTTCCTGAATACGAAACTTCATTTTAACCTGGTTCTGGCCAGTGCATTAGGGGCTCACATTTTCTTCAGAATTTGGACAGTTGTGCTGCATAGAACATTTGTTGGCCTTGCATACTTTTTTTTTCCATCTCTTGTTATTTTTCATGAAACGTACCATTCGTTTATGATTTTCTTTGAGAGGATTATACGGCTTATGCCTACAAGCTGGAAAAGAGATTTCGTCACCAGCAAGTGCCATACACTCAAAACTGATATAGATTGCCAATAGATGAGCTAAATCCATAACTTGCAGGTGCTAAGACTAAAATCCTGTCTTTAAGGAGAGCAACGAAGTTGCAGCATTTTCTGCATTTCTGGAAAAGGGTATTTCAGATGCTCAGTAAGAGAAAAAGGCAGAGATATCTACAGGTTTTAGTTTTAGAAGTTGTCACAAGAACAAAGTGGCTGCCTTTCAATTGGAACGCAGCAGGTATCAGCACCATGGTTTGGCATATTGGAGGAAAAAGTGAAACGGCATATTTGCAAATGAAAAATAATTTGTGAATAAAACTTTTTTATACATCTACAAGCAAAAGCTAAAAGATATAATATGATGAAAGGCCCTAAAATTAACTCTAAATTTTAGGTTTAAAATTTAAATTTTGACTGATAGGTATAAGTATAAAAAAAAGGATGAGGCTGACTTATCCGAGATCTGCATTTTCTTCATAAATGGTTGTATTCCAAGAGGACATGTACAATGGAGGCTACTACTATTAGTGGTCTCAAGTTACTACATAGGCTAAGGCCACTAATATACACACAATTCTTTAATGGAGACTACTGCTAAGTGCTAAATGTTTTTTCATTTCAGTCCTTATTAACTTTTTTATTATCACATCGATAATACTTTTATATTTTAGACCTTATAACAACAAAAAAGAACACATATATATATATATACTCTAACCTCCTAACGGTCCCACAGTTAGCCTCTCACATTCATTTTCCACCCCCACCCCCTTACCACCACTGTCGCTATTCTCGCCTTTCCCTCTTCTCCTTCTCCGACGGAGGCGCTCCCCTTCTCCTTTGCTGTCGGTGCTCCTCTTCTCCTTCTCTGTGCCTTGTCGACGAGGCGTGGCCCGCCCAGCTCATGGTGGTGATGAGATCTTTGACGTCGAGCTTCGTGTGGCAAAGGGCGACAGGATCGGTGGCGCTCGAGCTTGAGCTTTCCAGCGGGGATCTGGCATCATGCTCGCTGGATCTGGCCGAGCTCGAGAACCAGAGAGATCCACAGATCTGGCGTCATGCTCGCCGGATCTGGCCGAGCCACCGCCGTTGTCAGCGTCTTCCCGGAGGTGGCGTCGATTTGTTCGGAGCCGCCGTTGGGCTCCCTCTCCTCCCTCCCTGGCGGCACGGGCCACAACGAGGCATGGGCTGGCGGCGATGACCTCCAGCCCGTCAACTCGTCAATGGCCTCTAGTTCCCCTTTTCTCCTCTGTAACTTTCTGGATCACACAAATCGTTCTCTCTCTCCTAGAACCACAGTTCAACCACTGTTTCATCTGCCCCCCTGCGAGATCACTTCAAACCTTCAGTGAGTTACGAGGCACCATATTGTACATTTGTACATGGCCTTATGAAGTTATCCAGTCACTACACTTGCACAAGAACCTTATCAGCTATCAGCGCCACCAGAAAACGAAAAGGACACGTGTACTACGGACTGCCAGACGAAACACGCCAAGGAAGAAAAAAAAATGGGCGTCCAGCATCTGCTCAAGCTGAGGATGGCGTCGCCCCACCCGCACCCGCACCCCGGCGCGCCGCTCGCCGCGCGCCCGCTCTCCGCGCTCGCCTCCTTCTTCCTCGCCCGGCCCTCCTCCACCGCCGCCGCGCCTCCTCCTCGGCACGTCACCCTCTCGTGCTCGCGGCCGCACTGCAACCACAACCAGTGGGCCGCCAGCCGGTGCCGCGGGACGGCGGGCCGGCGGCGGCTGCAGGTCGTCGTGGCGATGTCCTCGTCGGCGCCGCCGCCGCCTCCGGGATCCGTGCAGAAGTCGGAGGAGGAGTGGGAGGCCATCCTCTCGCCGGAGCAGTTCCGCATCCTCCGCCTCAAGGGCACGGAGTAAGACGTGTTTCTTCCCACTGTTTATCCTTCTTTTCCCCTTAGAATAAAAAATACTAGCGTAAAGTCATTGCTAATTTGCTATCTGTTTCTGTTTCCGTTTCTGATAATGCCAATTTCTTAAAACTTTGAATCAGTATATACTCGGATCATGTATGAGCATGTGTGGAACGGTGCATTTCCTTGCTACTTTGCAAGAGCTCTTTCAGAAATGACTTGCCTATGCATGGTTACTGGCTCTGGACAGCCAACCATCCTGTCTCTTTATTAATCTGCTCCCGAGTTTCCATCTTTTTTTTTTTTTGCCATGGGTCAACAGCTGTAATGTTATCTAGTTGCATTTCTGGGACATTTTTGCATGCTGCAAACGTTTCTAGATCTGCTAATGCAATTTAAAGTGGTTATGATTTGGCCCTGCTCAGCTGTGAAGTGTACAGCTGCACAGCCAAAGCTATTCGCAGTGGGAGCAGCCTCAAAAATAATAGCCGACCAGGCCAATTGATTTTACCAAGCAAAAGAAGAAAAAACAAACTAAAATGCTTGTGATCAGTTGCGAAGCTAGGCTTTAACTATGAGGGGGGCAGCTTAACAAATGATTGTGATAAAAAAAATTGTATAAAAAGTATTACATAAATTCAAAGATTTTTTATAGATGATAAAAAAAACATCAGAGCTAAAAGTCTATATAAATTGACAGTAATTAGAAAAAAAAAACTTGGCAAAATTAGCAACAAATTGAAGGACTAATATTCCAGAGGTTTAAAATTAAAATGATGTGACAATAGATATAGTTAGTTTCCTAATCATCGGCTCAAGCACAAGAAAAACACGCACCTATGGCTACAGATTTAGTAGGAAAGTGGAAACTGATATGTAAACTCACGATGGCTCCCAGTCATCATGTCGTGTAAACTACAATTGCTTCTTCTAATACAATGACGTGCAATCCTTTTGCCAGTTTGTGAAAAAACATAACTCTCATCTGAATGACTGAATGTACGTTCTTGGAATGGATGCCTTCCTATTTTTTGCATTTTGATGACATAATGATTTTTTGTGCACACAATTGTTCATAAATTAAGTACCAGCTGTACTTTGGATATCAAATGGTAGAATTACATGTGGAATTTCATGTGTAACAGTATCTGATATTTTACTCTGAAGACAAAATTTATCAGTTTACCAGCCCGTTACTACTGGCTGTGTATATACATATGATTGTCTAAAAAAATCAGCTTGTTACTATGATCCTGTATGAAATGTTAATTTTAGGTTTGTCTCTAGACATATCCTCTTTGTCTTGAGTCTTGACCAGGATTGTATCTTGCTATACAGACATAGTACTAGTGCATGAACCCTTTTCTCGGTAATATTTCTTTTGTCTACTATTCGACCAATATGTTATTGTCTCATTGGACACAGCTGCATATCATGAAGTGCAGAATGTAAGCGAAAAATAGCTCAGCCAAAGTTACTAAAGCGAAGTCACTACAAATGCTTGTTGGTTGTAACCAACTTACCATCCTTTGAGGCTTGTTTTGTTCCTGATCTGCAACTGTAGTCCTGAGTCCTGACAGTTGAGTAATGTAACAAAACTGCAAAAAGATAATTCTGTACGAAGTTGCAGTGCTGATCCTATTCTCATTATCAACATTTGTGTTGTCGTACAGTTAACGAATTACTGGTGTATGACATGGTTAATCTGGTAGTCTTGAACTAATTTTTTGATTTGATCTTTTTTTTTTTCCAGGTATCCTGGAACAGGTGAATATGACAAGCTCTTCGCTGAGGGTGTTTATGAATGTGCTGGATGCGGGACTCCATTGTACAAGTCATCTACTAAATTCAACTCAGGTTGTGGTTGGCCAGCATTCTATGAAGGATTTCCCGGAGCCATCGCACGAACGGTATGGTTTTGTCTTCTACATCGAATGGCGATGAATATATATGGTGTTTTGTTTTCCTCTTTCGGTCGTTCCATACTCTCCTACTGATGCTGGCACTATTTTGCAACTTCAGCCTGATCCTGATGGCAGGCGAATAGAGATCACCTGTGCGGCTTGCGGAGGACATTTAGGACATGTCTTCAAAGGGGAGGGGTTCAACACGCCTACAGATGAGCGGCATTGTGTTAACAGTATCTCACTCAAGTTCATTCCAGCCTCAGAAGATAGTAAGCTTTGAGCATGGAAGTATAAGCCCGCAATAGAACAGTCTGCGCAGTCATAGTAAACCTGTGATTATTAAAAAAGTATCGGATTTTTCAGAAAGCAATTTATACTCTGCGGTTTGTCAATAATGCGAAATACCAAGTCTGATGATTGTCGAAAACTTTTGGCTGTAACCTATTTACACTTCCAGTTCTACTTTTTTCTGATAACCAGAGAAGTTCATATCCGTACATAATTGAACACGGAAGAAACTATCCGATGGAGAAAGCCACCGGGAGAATGGCAGGAGTTGGTGTTCTCGGTCTGCAATGGCAGTTGCGTCACTGAAGACGCTGATTCTGTCGCTACGATGTCACTTGTATAGACGATGTGGCGAACCATGTGCGCCCCAAAACAAAGCCAAAACAGGTATTGGAAAAGCCTAAAGGCATCTCAGCAACAATGATAATCTTAAGCTATGAACTCATATCAGCAGTTATCCAAAGGCGCATGTAATGCTGATATTGTCTCATTTCATGAAAATGTGAAGAAACAGCGACTGCCACCAGAAACAATCAAGCAAGTTCAGTTAACGTGGCGAGCTCATCCTGTGTCCTTTCGGTCGAAATCTAACTACAGGTTCTTTTAACAAGTTAACTCCAGGTTATGATGCTGTAGACCTTCTCCATCATCAGCTAACAGCTCTAAACACGCTGCCTATGGTGTCGCCATCCTCAATGAAGAATATGATAAACCTTCCAAAAGCAGACTGGTGAAAAAACATAGTGTTCAGTTCGATGCTGATGGCAACAGCCATAACGCAATATTTGAAGAAACAAGTCAGTTGATTTCAAAACTCTTCAAACCATATTAACTTTCTACTTGCCTGGTATTAGTGCCAAATATTGCAAAATAATTTTATCTTGTTTCACTTTTGTTTCTCTTTGCCTCACATGCTTTCAAGGCTTGAACATCTGCCATAAAAAGGAAGCAACACAGATATTGTTAGAACAAAGTGAGATAATGTTACGATAATAAAACCAGAATCCAGCTTGTGGAAAACTAAGACAGCACTAACTTTAAACAAATATGGATGTAACTATCATAGCTACCATACTTTTATCCTCAAAGAAATGCTACATTTAGCTCGGATCACAATGCAAGGCATCTTAAAATTGCAACATCTCAACTCAGGTCTAGCCCCTTGACTTGAGCAAACATTAACCTCATCACAGCAATTGTACAGCCAAAAGACAAAATAAAATGTGGCTGTAAGTTATTCGATTTTGGAAAGCAACTAGGATGCAAATGTGTGACCAAACTTTGTGCAGTGCTAGGAGCCTAGGACATTAGTGCTATATGGCAAAGTTGGATCTGCATGCCTGCTGTTGTTACTTGTTAAGGGCCTGCGAGCTGTTAGGTAAGCCAAATGTGTACAAATTGCCTCATGGATCAGCAACTTCTTTTACTAGAAAATTACCCAGTAATATCGCACAAGTGCGCATGGTTGTAAAGAAGCGCCGAAAGACATAACTTCACGAAGCCTTAGAATAGTTTCAGGAAAGACATGAAGCTAAACCACATTCACATGTAGATTTATCTTGGATGATTCTAACTCCCATTCTAGCACGTTTTAAGCTATTGAAGGCCATATCATGCCATTAAGAACCTATCTATATGCAAGAATTTCATACAAAACAATTCAATTCCCAAAGAAGCAAGAAAAATTCCCCACATTTCCTTTTCTCTCTGAGAGTGTAATGTGATAAGCAAGTGAGCCTCACTTCAGCTATACCATAAGCACTCTCTTTTGAAGAAGAAAATTTCGTAGCATTCCTGAGTTTACATTAACACTTGATAAACCAGAAACCATTCACATGTAACATGAGGCAGTTATCCTGGGTATTCAACACAACACTACAAATCCAAGGTTTTGCCTAATTCCAAACCATTTGACAACAAATTCAGTTGATCAGTTCCAATCTGAGCAAGCAATCAGCAACTTTCAGCAACTCATTCAGTTCACCAATATGAACGCCAAGGCCTACTATAGAGAGAGAGAAAGGAATGACGAATTTGTCGCGATGCTTACGTGCTTGGCAGGCCTTCCAGCTGCGGTTGGACTCCACGAGGCAATCCTGCAAAGGATCCAAGCGAACAGCAAGATCAGAGACTGTTAAGTCAGGAAGAGATTTGCGCGCGGCAGCAGGACAGGAATCGCCTTCGCCTCCTCAAGTCCTCAACTACTAAGAACGAGGCGGGGAAGAGAACACGCAGGGGAGGGAGAGGGGAAAGGGAGCGGGAGAGAATCGGTGCCTGGAGGGAGAGGTAGAGGGCGGCGCACTCGCTGAGCTGCTTCACGTTCTCGTCCTCCTCGTCGGCGTCCATCACGTGGAGTGGGTGCGGCGGCGCAGGCGCAGCCGGAGGCGGCGGCGCGGGCGCGGTCCGGCCGTTGCTCGAGGAGGAGCCCATGGTTTTCGCCCTCTTTCGTCGGTGTCGAATCGGTCGAGTCGAGTGGCTCGAGCCCGGACTCCTATTTGGTCCATTTCTTGAAAGCGTAAATCGAAAGTACGTTTCCGAGATACGGACATTGGACCCTTTCGGTCATGGAGAAACACGCTTTCCAGCTGTCAAAGCGGGGAAGTATCAAAGCACAAGCGTGTTTTCAGACATGGTTAATTTGATCATGTGAATGAGATGTGGTGCAGTTTGATCTTTCTTCCATGAAAAATATTTGCCTCAAATAAGGCACTGAACCATATACATATTTTGATGTCGCTGCACACCTTGAAAGCGTAAATCAGAAATACGTTTTGGAGATACGGGCATGGAACTATGGATAAACACGTTTTCGAGTTGTCAACGCGAGAAAGCATCAAAGCACAAGCGTGCTCTCATACGTGCTATGAAAGTGAAACTGGGTAAGAGAACCAGATATGGTGGTCAATTGATCATATGAATGAGATATAATTTTGCTATATATTTGTCGATAAATTTTCCCTCAAAAATTTGACGGATGTAATTACAGTATAATCGTAGTGTAATTACACTATAACTTGCATGTAATTACACTGTAACTATAATGTAAGTTGTATGTAATTTTCAAAAATCTTTCCGTAACTTGTTATTTCGATAAAATGGAGACCTTGGGAACAAATTTTTTCACATATGTGTGTGCTATGATTTGTTTTCTTCCTCACTAGTACAAATCTTGTAATAGTACAAATCTTGTAATAGATCTAACGATTCAAAATTACGTGAAACTTACATATAAGTTACACTGTAGTTACATGCAAGTTACAGTGTAATTACATATGAGTTACAGTGTAACTACACTACGATTGTACTATAATTACATCTGTCAAATTTTTAAGAGAAAATTTATCGACAAATGTACAGGGGTCATTGAATTAACTAAAAAACATATATAAAGGGAGTAAAAGTAAAAATTGCAGGCCGTCTCGCGGGAAAAGAAATTGCGCGTGCCGAATGCATCAAAAAAGGTAGACTTCCCCTCCAAACAATTCGATCTAAAATTGATTATTGCTGCTATCCAATTCGAACTATCTATGGAGTATTAGGAGTTAAAATTTGGATATTCGTAGATGAAGAATAACCAACCCTGTCTTCCCATTCTGTTAAGTAATAGAATAAAAAATGACAAGAGCCTTATTTTCCCTAAAATCCCTGAAAAAAAGAAGAAATTCTACCTCTTTCTATAAGATTTAATGAAAATTGAGAAATCTTTTAATAAAATTGCTATGTTTAGTGTGTGACTCGTTAGTTTTTTTTAGGGTTCAAAAAGGGGATTAAAAAAATAGAATGAACCCTACTATGTAATTATAGAAAATGAACTAATAACCAACCTATTGCTTCGTATTGTCGAGATCCTAACTAAGAAACAGTCACTATATGAATAAATACATCTATCATAAATAAGTAAATCTATCATATACGTGTAGCAACTGCAATTTTTTCTTTAAAAAAATAGGATTCTAAGTTGTGAAGCAAAACTAAAGGGGATGTAGATAAAAGGAAGGATGATAGAAAGAAGGAAGAGAAAAAAGAAAGATATAGGATTCCAATATGTATGGTCTATGAATTACATCATAAAAAGCAATGTGATAAAGCATCAATATAATAAAAATAACAAAGAATTCGAAATCGTAATTTGATTGAAACAAGAAATACAAATTTCAAGGAATAACAAAGAGCGTCCTGAGTTAATAAACTGAGAAATTGACTCGGAAAGAAATTTTTTGGAAGCTCCATTGCGAGATTCAAACCTAACCATTAAAGGAGAAGCAGTGGGAATGACAGAACCTATGACTGGATAGGATTTTCTTGAAAAAAATCCCAATACTTCATTGGGTGGGATGGCGGAACAAACCAAAAAAAATTGTCTTATTTGATAAGGTTATGAATTAACAAATAAGACATGAAAGAGTAAATATTCGCCCGCGAAATTTTTATTGAATTAGAATACTTTACCGCGATTCAATAAGAGTAAAATAAAAAAAGGAGATTAAAAAAAAGAATTACATTAAATATAGAATATAGATAAATAAACATACACATCTAGATATATTCTAGATCCTCTTTTCTTGACTATATATTTTAGTATTTTAATAAATTTAATATTAAAAACCCTAACCTTTCCTATTAATGTGTATCTATCCGTAATATTTTAGAATATTGTGGAATTAGAGAAATTTGCACACTTTCTCATTTGATTCGCGAGGAGCTGGATGAGAAGAAACTCTCATGTCCAGTTTTGCAGTAGAGATGGAACTAAGAGAGAACCATCGACTATAACCCCAAAAGAACCAGATTTCGTAAACAACATAGAGGAAGAATAAAGGGAAAATCCTACCGAGGCAATTGTATTTGTTTTGGTAGATATGCTCTTCAAGCACTTGAACCTACTTGGATTACGGCGAGGCAGATAGAAGCAGGACGAAGAGCAATGACACGATATGCACGTCGTGTTGGAAAAATCTGGTACGTATATTTCCCGACAAACCGGTTACAATAAGACCGACGGAAACACGTATGGGTTCGGGAAAGGGATCCCCCGAATATTGGGTAGCCGTTGTTAAACCAAGTCGAATACTTTATGAAATGGGCAGAGTATCCGAAACTATAGCTAGAGCAGCTATTTCCATAGCTGCCAGCAAAATGCCCATACGAAGTCAATTTCTTCGGTTAGAAATATAACCCCCCAAAAAAAGTAGTATTGAAAATAAAAAAACCAGGTTCTTCTTTCTGGAAAGACAATATTTCTTTCATCCTTTTGCATTGAAATAACAAATTGAAATCAAAATAATATGATTCAACCTCAGACCCTTTTAAATGTAGCAGATAACAGTGGAGCTCGAAAATTGATGTGTATTCGAGTCATAGGAGCTGCTAGTAATCAGCAATATGCTCGTATTGGTGATGTTATTGTTGCTGTAATCAAAGACGCAGTGCCCCAAATGCCTCTAGAAAGATCTCAAGTAATTCGAGCTGTAATTGTACGTACATGTAAAGAGTTCAAATGCGAAGACGGTATAATAATACGCTATGACGACAATGCAGCGGTTATCATTGATCAAAAAGGAAATCCAAAAGGAACTCGCGTTTTTGGCACGATCGTCGAGGAATTGAGAGAATTGAATTTTACTAAACTAGTTTCATTAGCTCCTGAAGTATTATAAATACTAGTAGACAAGATATAGATCAAATAAAAAATTAGTAGATTGTGTTTCACGTATATGCTTTAGAATCCAAAACGAAAAGAAAAAAGAGAACATGTTGATTATAGAAAAATTAGGAGGAACCTAGAATTAGAGTCTTATGGGCAAGGACACTATTGTTGATTTACTAACCTCTATAAGAAACACAGACATGAATAAAAAAGGAACTATTCGGGTAGTATCTACAAATATTACCGAAAACATTGTTAAAATACTTCTACGAGAGGGTTTTATTGAAAGTGTTCGGAAACATCAGGAAAGTAATAGATATTTCTTGGTTTCAACTTTGCGACATCAAAAGAGAAAGACTAGAAAGGGAATATATAGAACTAGAACCTTTTTAAAGCGTATCAGCCGACCTGGCTTATGAATTTATGCCAACTATCAAGGAATTCCTAAGGTTTTGGCTGGAATGGGAATTGCTATTCTTTCTACTTCTCGAGGTATAATGACAGATCGAGAAGCTCGACTAAACAAAATTGGAGGAGAAGTCTTATGTTATATATGGTAATCGCCCCACCTATAGTTATAGTACCCAAATTCTATCTTGAACTTCCTATTTTTCAAACAAAAATACAACATTTTTTTATTTGAAAATAAAAAAAGAAAAATAGGAGAAAAAAATATGACAGAAAAGAAAAATAGGAGAGAAAAAAAAACCCCGAGAGAAGCAAAAATTACTTTCGAGGGTTTAGTTATGGAAGCCCTACCCAACGGAATGTTCCGCGTTCGCCTAGAGAATGACACCATCATCCTGGGCTATATTTCAGGAAAGATCCGGTCTAGTTCTATGCGAATACTGATGGGGGATAGAGTCAAAATTGAAGTAAGTCGTTATGATTCAAGCAAGGGGCGTATAATTTATAGACTTCCCCATAAGGATTCGAAGCGTACCGAAGACTCGAAGGATACCGAAGATTTGAAGGATACCAAAGATTTAAATGGTTAGGTTTTTCTTTTTTTTTTCAGGGTAAAAAATTCAAAGTTCTAAAATTCAAACAAAGAGACTTATTTTTTCCAAAAGAGTAAATTCATAGTTTAAGAAAGGAATACTCCCTATACATTTGTCGACAAATTTTCTTTTTGACAAATTTTCTTTTTGACAGATGTAATTATAATACAACCGTAGTGTAGTTATACTGTAACTCATATGTAATTACACTGTAACTTGCATGTAACTACAGTGTAACTTATATGTAAGTTTCACGTAATTTTGAATCGTTAGATCTATTATAAGATTTGTTCTGGTGAGGAAGAAAAAAAATCACATCATACACATATGTGAAAGAATTTGTTCTCACAACCTCCATTTTACCGAAATAAATGTTATGGAGAGATTTTTAAAAGTTACATACATGTTACATTATAATTACAGTGTAATTACATGCAAGTTACAGTGTAATTACACTACGATTGTACTATAATTACATCTGTTAAATTTTTGGTGGAAAATTTGTCGACAAATATATAGCAAATTCAGTTGCGAATTGTAGCCCCAAGAACGAAGCAGATGCAATTGGCAACCGTTTCATGCCAGCGCGCAGACATATATGATCTACTGGGAAACCATAACAGGTTGAGAGATGCCCAGTTCCTAGTCAACACTAATGTTGACAATTTAAGGTACATCTACATAGCAAGCTTCTTTACACTCCATGGATGTACACGAAACTAAATCTAGGAAAAATTCATCGCATGTAGCGTGCCCTCCAAAATTCACTTAGGCAAAATTTGCAGTTCAAATGCTCCTTCGTTCAGGAAATTGTTCACTCTGACCGTTGCAGCCATCCAAGCTGTGTAGAAATGAATCTTGTTAAACATTTGACAACAAAACTGGCTGAATATTGAAGGAGCAGACAACATTTGACATGAGGAAATACCTTCCAAGCATACATCACAAAGAATGCAACCGTATCTGCTGACCAGACAACAGCGAAGGATTTCACGAAGAACGGGATAATGACGTTGATTAGAGGGACCAGTAGAAACAAGTAGTTGAGAGCCTCTTTCTCCTTACTTGAGCAGTCACGGGCCCGAAGAGAAGGTATAGCTGCAGAAGTAGGTAGTTGATCAGTTACAGCATCACAGAAAATGTATCTAATTCATTGCATCCATTGAATCTTATTAACCTCAACAGCGACACAGCATCTAGAGATCAAATTATGTTCATTTTATCGACAGCCTCAGATTAATAATTAATATTGAGAGACAGATTCACTGTTAATTACTACTTGATATGACAACCTCAAGGATTTTTGTTAAAGGTTGGCAAAGAGAAGGATATTTCATCATGTTTTTCCAGTCAGCATATATGCATATATAGAACAGCTAAACAGACACCGTGCTAGAAAGAAAATAAATTCTCAGTTGCTCTTAGAACTATTCTTTATCTAGAACTGGATGAACTGCACTATAAAGTTTATGGCTAGTGAAGCACGAATTAACCCCTTGTGCCAGTTGATTCAAAATGTTGTAGCACAAGAGCACTTTCAATACATTTTTAGCCATTGCTGCTTACGAAAAAAGAGCAAGGGCTTGGTTGATGCATGGATAGATCATAATCCTTGCTGCTGATGGGAACAATTTACAAACGTATAAACTTACTGCACAACGACAAGTACCACAAATCAAATTCTTACTTACTGAACATCCAGATGGACCACATTCCCATCAGCCTCCAAATGTCCGGCTCATTCGACGGGAACACGAGATTGAAGGAAAGGGCTCCACCCAACAGCATGGAGGCATATCCCTGGACCTCAAAGATAGTGTACAGAGCTGTTCCAGGCACTGCAGGGTTCTTTGTGGCAGTGGACGCCCTTGGTGCAAACGTTGCTGCGGTCTTCTGAACTGCCTGCTCAAGAACACAGCATAGTTATTTGGTGGTGACCTCATGAAGTCATGTTGTTTGCTGTATCAGCAAAAATCTTTAGCATTTCTACCCTTTAAAATAACATTTTGAGTTTCTTTGTGCATATGGGCCTACGACCAAAAACTAGATGTATGCTAAGAGCAGGTACAATACCAGGCTATAAGCCAGCTATACACATATTTTAAAGAGATAAAAGAGGAGAGATAAGAGTAGCAGGCTACAGATTTGTAGCCAGTTACAATACGGACTCCAAGATACATATGTATATGACAGGTGGGACTAAACATTAATGATGTAGTACATATAGGTAACTATTGTATGAATTGGCTATTAAATTGACTATATATAATTTGGAGCCGATAGTTGGCTATACTATTAAACTTGCTCTAAAGTTAAATCACCTATTAGAAGACTACAACATTTCTGATGGCTCAAATTAGTTTCTTCCTGCAATTCATTGTACTAGGTTTCTATCGAATTGTGAAGTTTTCAAGTGTTTCGAATTCTTACAGTTGCCTAGTATTATTTGCAACAACTTATGAATTATATCGAACAAGCTGAATGGGAAACTGTTTTAAACACTCGGGTGGACGTCCACCCGTTTCTTGCATGTCATCTAAATGGTTATGAAAAATTTTCAAAAAAATTGACATGATAGGTTAATATGTAATATATCATCTCACAAACATGCAAGTTCAAGTTCAACTTCTATAAGTTGTAATAAAAATAACAAATTTGATTGTGAATATATGTATACTAGTTAGAGTTTAATTTGTTATTTTTGTTACAACTTGTAGAAGTCGAATTTGGACTTGCATGTTTGTGAGATGATATATTACATATTAACCTATCTTATAATTTTTTTTGGAATTTTTTCATAATCATTTAGGTGGTATGCAAGAAACGGGTGGACGTCCACCCGAGAGATTAGATACCATCTCCTGAGCTGAATGCTTAGTTCTTAGACCAAGGGACAAAGAAAAGAGCCGACCTTCTTGAGCTCCTTCTCAATCTTGGGATCAACAGGAGCCGGCTTCTTCTCCGCCGACGACTCAGCGGAAGAACCTCCGCCACTGGCCACCTCCCCTTCTTTGCTCTCTCCCACAGCGGAAGCCTCGGCCGCCACTGCACCAGCGGCGGCACCACCACCGTCCGAGCCATCCGAGCTCGCCCACGCAAGAACCAGCCTCGCCGGCCTCCTCCTCCTCCTCCCCGCGAATATCCCGCCGGGGACGGTGGCCGGCGGGAACGCGGAGCTGGCCGCGGCCGCGAACGCGCAGCCGCTGCCGAGAGGGCTGTACATTGTTCGCGCGAGGTTTTTCTTGTGGGGAGGGAGAGGAGAGATGGTGGAAGAGATGGGGAATGGAGGGTCGTCGTCCGTCCTCCCGCCTTCGGTTTGTGCCGACGTGGCCGCGGCTGCAGCTTCCGTGTTTCGCAGAGAAGCGTGGACGTTGGTTGGTCGCTTCCTATAGCAGATAGTATCTCAGCCGTCCAATTTATTTAGCGGCTCCCTTCTTGTCTCATTACCGTTAGCACATTTTACGAACTATTAAGCTATATGTTTTGTTTTGTGTGAAAAAATTCTATATAAAAGTTACTTTAAAATATCAAATATATATATTTGTTAAGTTTATAATAATTAAAACTTAATTAATCATGTGCATGTAATGAGAAAGTTTTTGTACAAATTAATTTAGCTATTAGCACATGATTATTTAAGTTTTAATTATTACAACATTAACAAATGGATAAATTTGATAGTTTAAATCAACTTACATAGAAAATTTTCGTATGAAACACACCATCTAGTAGTTTGAAAAACATGCTATCGAAATCGAGATAAAATATGAATCTTAATGAGAAAATAACATGTGAAAATATATCCTCTCTTATGTCCGCCTCTCTCATATTGTCATACATGAGAACACTCTCATTCAAGTTGTCACCCTTGTAAGCTTGTTCCACAAGGACCACACTCTGGTTCAATTTCCGCTTATTCTCTCTTCCCCCGCGCCTCTCCTTCCCTATTCTGGACAAGGCAACGCTCCATCTATATATATTGTCCCTATCGACCGCCTCTACATTGGCGGCGCTTCGGATTAATCCCATTCTATCACACCCAGAAATTTAGCCCAAATTTCTAGACTATTTTGTGTATTAAATCCCTATCCAGGACCAGCCAGGGTACACAAAACGACAAGTAATAAACAGTTCCAAACGTAAATAAAGCGTAAAATACTTACAGGAGAGGCACTTAGTCCTCACACCGAAACAAAAGCAACGGCAGCAGAAAAGACGATCCTAGCGGGGCTTCAGCTCCACTCCACAGGCAAAACTCAACTGGGGTCTGAGTCTTGGTCCTCTAACTTCGTCTTCAGCTCAGAAGCACTACACTTCTGAAAAGGGGGAATAATAGCAAAGGCTGAGTACAACCACCGTACTCAGCAAGCCACACCAATGATGCAAACGTGCAAGGGGAACACAAGGACGGTTTGTGGCTATTTGCATAAAGGCGGTTGTAAAACATTTTATTGAGCAAAACCGTAAAACTATTGAGTAATTAAAGTAACATTAAATCTTCACTGATCAACACTACACCACGTTGAACAGGCCCAACCAACCCATCTGAACTACAGTGCATTGAGTCGATTTATTAAGGTGGGACTAATCACGGTGAATCTGGTCGACTGCCCATAACCGCAGGCACGGCTACTCGAATAGTTTTACTCTGATCAGAGGTGTACAACTGTACCTACAAGATACAGCCCCACGACACGTTTCCGTGCGCCGACATGCCACCACGACATACCGGAAAGAGGTCGTGACAGGACCCTTCACATAACCCCCTCTAACCAAGCACACCACACCTCAGGTTTCACCCCCACTCCTCGCAAGATAGCGGGCAGTCCCCTCTCGTGCCTAGGTGAATCCGGAAGCCGCATAGGCCGTCGCAGGACCCATCCAAACTCCATCACGCCCACCCTTGCCTGGATGCGTCAGCTAGAGGAAAGCTACACTACAAGCCCAGCCGTTGCCCACGCTGGCTTATGGTAAGCATGATAAATTCTTCCAGGGTTTCCCGCGAACCGGTCCTTAATCGCCATGGGCACGACTAGCAAAACCATGCACCCACAGCCCACCATGTAGTCGCATTTTAGTTGGATAATTACGACCATGAAGTATGGCTAGATGTCTTGAGCACGCAGCTCATTCTGATACTAAAAAGATCTAATACTGTAATTATCCCATCAACTGAGCTAGTGGTAATTAAGCATGACTAAGTATATAGTTCTAGCTAGGTCACATAAGTAACATGAGCTAGTCTATTTATTACCCAAGGTTGACAAATGACAGATATCAAGTAAATATGGCACAAGCAAACAGATAGGTAATACCCGGATCCCATGTAATTAGCAAGACATGCAATTTTATTTGCAAACAATAAAACATTTGTAAATTAGGATCAAAATGTTCAAGGGGAATGTGTGACTTGCCTTGCTTCTTCACTTGGATCTTCTGAACTCTTTTCCTCGTGACCGCGATCTTCCGAAACGACGGATTCTACACGCTGGCACACAAAACGAGGAAAAAATCTAATAAAAACCAAGGAAACAGTACATAAAAAGTAAACAAACATGTAGATCTCAATTTTAGATGAATTTTGTAAGTTGAATGGCCCAATTTGGAGTTCGAATGAATTAGATATGAATTTTAGAAGTTTTGAGCCATTTAAATGAATTTCTATAATTAATACCAATTTATTGCACAATTATTAAATATTTTTCCAAAGGAAATGATAAGCGCTAACGTCAGCAAGAGGAAGGGCGCCGACAGGTGGGCCCCACACGTCAGCGGGTCAAAGGGGGTGGCTCATGGTGGACTCGGTCCACCGCAGCACAGGCGCGCGGGCACACCACGTGGAAGACCACGTGGCGGCCACGACGGCACGGCGGGGCGAGGTGGCAAAGGCATGGCGCCGAGGTGGCGCCACATGGGACACCGGCGCGGGGCGGCGCCAGAGCCACGTAGACGGCCCGGATCACCCCAAAGGGGATCGGGCGGCCACAGCTAGCGGGAGCGGCAAAACTCGCCGGCCGACCGGCCGGGGAGCGACGGCGAGCAGCCCAGAGGTCGCCGGCGACGACCACCGGCGCGACGGCACGCGCGGGAGGCAGCGGAGGGAGGCAGAGGAGGGAGATGGGGAGCTCACCGAGCGCACAAGGCACGGAGGCGGCGCGGGAGAGCGACCGACGACGAGGAGAGGCGACGACGCTTCCTCGGGGAGGCACGGCTACGGCGGTTCAATGGCAGTCCGCGAGCGAGGAGTGGCGGATGACGACCGGAAGAGCCTGAGGAGGACGAAGGGGAGATTAGAAGAGGGAGAGGACGGGCTTGGCGAAGGGCAACAGTGGCCAAAGGCCGACCGTGAGTAGAGGAGCTCACCTTGCGCGGGGAAGATGGGGTTCGAGCGACGATTGATGGAGGCGGAGGGGTGGCCGGGCTGCGGGCGACGGCCGCGGTGCCGGGGAGGACAACAGCGCAGCATGGGGTGGACCGGAGAGGTGGCGCGACGCGGCCGGAGGCAGCAAAAGCGGTGCCAGCCTCGGGCTTGCGGTGGAGGTGATGATTCGGCGGTGGATCGAAGGAGCGGTATGGTGGCCGGGCTTGCCCGCGCGACGGCGAAGCTAGCGGTGGCGGCGACGCGGCGCGGTGACGGCTAGAGCGGCGAGAGGCGGCGGCTGGAGGCGGTACAGGCGGCGGTGGCTCGGCCTCGCGGTGGGACGGCGTTTCGGGGGTGGAAGAGGGAAGGGAAATGGATGCCGGGGTGAAGCGTGGGGCGGCGATGCCGATGGTGGTGACGGCGCAGTGCGGCGATGGCGAGAGCGGCGGCTAGAGGAGGCCGGAGCTCGCCGGAGAGTGGCGACGGCTCGGTTTTGCGTGGGGAGAGCGGGGGAGAGTGCGGGGAGTACGGAAAAATTGGGGAAATGGACGAGGGTCGCATGGGGTGTTTATATAGGCTCAGGAGAGGGAAATCGTGGCCGAGAGGGGCGGAATCAGGAGGCAACCGGCCAGCGACGTGGGGTGGCGACGTGGAGCTCGAGGGAGGTCAAACTGGCGTGATTTTTGGGGAAAAGTGGAGGAAAATGAGGAGGAATGGGTGGCGACCATGTCCGCACGGTTGGACGTGCGCGCGGGAGGCGAGAGGCGGCGGTTTTAGCGGCGGGGTGGGGTGGCAATGGCGGCAGTTGCCGGTCCATGGCGATGGGGTGGCTGGAGGTAGGGGAAGGGGATGACAGGTGGGGTCGCGGGTCCCACCTGTCAGCTAATGGAAGAGAGAAGGGAAGCCGGGTGGGGGTTTTCTGGACTTTGGGGGGGGAGAGGAGCCGAGCTGGGCCGAGCGGCCCAAAGAGGAGAGGGGAGGGAGGCGGGCCGGAGGGGAAGGGGGATGGAATTTGGGCCGAGCCCGAAAGGGAGGAAGGGGAAGATTATTTTCTTTTCTTTTTATTTAAATTGATTAAATGAACTTTGTATTATTATAATTATTTCTTGAGCTCCGAAAATTCGCGGAAAAATCCGGAGAGTATTTTAGGGCACAAAGAATATTACAAAATATTCTCGGCCAATGATTTTTAAAGGAAAATTTCAAATTCTCCCATTATTTCACTTGATTGAATTGACTTAACTTTTATTTAATTTCTAGAAAATGCATTATTTAATGATTTTTAATCCCGAACGAAAATCGGGGCGTTACACATTCCCTTCATCCCTTCCTTAATAACCCATCCGTTGTTCTCCATGTTGATAGCGCAACGACCCAATTCCCTTTTCTCTTTCTCTCTCTCTCCCTACGTTCTTCCATGATATGTTGTATCGTGGTGATTAGATCAACAAAACTAACCATATATGTACCAGCAATGATATATGTGGGTATCAACTCCGATACTTATGGAACAATACTCTAATAGTACCACACATTATACTTGTAAGGGCAGTAACAGTGCAAGGCACGCATAGCGCGCTTCTAGCCCATTTGTGCGATAAAATTGGCCCGAAGGCCAGTAGGCCACACACCCCACAGTGCTCGTGACCCACAATACGCTATCAAGTCGGAACTCCCAGTCGAACGAAAACAGAGTTAATTTTCCCCACCTGCCCCTTCATGCTTATCCTCTACACAGAAAAAAATCCCGTCACTTCTCCCCATCTCCGCGCCGCTCCCCCGCCCCACCCACCCCCCTCCGCTAAAAAAAATCCGCAGCTTCTCCTCCTCATTCACCACACCACGCGCTTCTCCTCCCAGATCTGCCGCTTCTCTCCCCAAATTTGACACTTCTCCTCCCAAATCCACCGCACCGTTTCTCCCAATCTGCGCCACTTCTCCTCGCCCATCCACTGCACCGCTTCTCCCCCAAATCCAAGCGCGGGAGGCAAGAATCGGTGGGGTGGGAGGGTGATTTTGGGGATTCACTTTTCGGGGCGGCGCGAGGAAGCGACGAATCGGAGCGACGACCTCCACGTTGCAGGGGCGGAGGGGGTTTCTTGCGCTGCGCGCCCTCGTTGCAACGAAGAAACTCGTCTCCCAGATAAGGGGCGAGCGGCTAAGCAGAGGCGCGAGCCTCGTCGACACGTAAGCGAGTCCAATATGGCAGGTGAAGGTAACATGCCATGTACACGCACTGGGAAGGGCCTAAAGGGGCTAGCAATAATACGTGAGTACTAGGGATTGATGAACCATGGTGAAGACTCCAATAAGGTACAAAGGTGGAATTTTGGAAATGATGGCGCCGACAAGGTACCACCTACCCAAACTCCCAAAACGACTGAGGCTGTGTTTAGATCTAGGGGTAAAAGTTTTTGTCGTGTCACATCGGATATACGGACACACATTTGAAGTATTAAACATAGTCTAATAACAAAACAAATTACAGAATCCGTCTGTAAACTATGAGACGAATTTATTAAGTCTAATTAATCCGTCATTAGTAAATATTTACTGTAGCACTACATTGTCAAATCATGGAGCAATTAGGCTTAAAAGATTTGTCTCGCAAATTAATCGCAATATGTGCAATTAGTTATTTTTTAGCCTATATTTAATATTTCATGCAGGTGTTCAAATGTTCGATGTGATATGGTGAAAATTTTTGGAGTGGGACCTAACAAGGCCTGAGCTGATAAAGTATCGAGGTAACATCGTGGATGAGGCTATGCCAACAAGATACCAAGGATGAATTGAGAGGGCAACAACGTCGACAAGGTATCACATACTTGAACCATGGATACTTGATTGGGACGAAGACACGAGGATCTGGTATGCATGCTCGTGGCAGATGAGGCAAAGTAAAGGTGTCTCAAGGAAGCCGCGAATACGGATCGATCTCCTATAATTTATACCATCCCAAAATTGATATGCCTTACATTAGCAGTTCTTAAAATAAACCGAACACAAAAGACAGAAACATATATATTCATCCAAATATTTGGACACGATATGAAACAAACATGAACATTTACATGATACTAATTTGAGAACATCTCTGTTTTATACTGTGCAGTGATTTTTTTCCCCGATGGTTGGTGCGAAGCAATTTTTCTCAAAAGGAAATGAAACGATTGAAAGCTTTCCTTCCTGACGCGTGTGGCACGATTTTATCCGCCGGTTTATTTTCCCAGGAAAGAATTCAACATTTCAACTTCTGGAGGACTCCGACCGCCGTGCCTCTTCATCGTCGGTGCCCTAGGTTCTCCACGCCCATTGCCCATTACTAATCCGGCACTGCTAGCTCAGGTATACGCCACGAAACCCACTCCTACGCCAAGGTATCCACCACTCGCGCGCGGCGCGCGCACGCTCGCCGGCGACGGCAGCGCGGGGTGCTCCTTGTGTTGGGCGCGCTCGGCGAAGGTGTGGCGGTGTGGCGCATGGAGGTTCAGCGGGAGACCGGGCGTTCCTGGCACACGCGGCCGTGTTTGGCGGAGCTCGCGCGCGCTCATGGCGTTGTCATGGGGGTGGTTTTCTCGTGTTCAGGTTCAGGCACGAAGGGGGCGCCGCGTAACTCGCCGTGAAGGTGTTCGATCAGATGCCCCTCTCAGGGCGAAGGTGGCTACTCTGGCAACTTATCAATTCAACTGTCGCAACAAACAACTGGTTTTTTTTTTTTACAGAAGATCGCATAAATTCTTCTGGAGACCAACCTGTCTACTACTTAGATTTGCATTGTCGATGTTTCTACGACTACGACTCACTGATAACTTTTGCTTTTTGAAGTTTTGTGAAGTTGACACTTCGGCAGATTTGATTAATAACAAGACAAATGCAGCTGTTAGAAGGCCACGGTTCATCAGAGTTCTGCTCCCTGGATCCTTCGCAAAGATGGTCCACAGATGCTTGTATACTACTACATGTTCTGCCGTTCTGAATTTCGTAGCGAATTCTTAACAAGTTTGCAAGGACAGTGCCGGTCAAATTGGCCATGGTTTTCAGCCTCGTTGGCAATTTTTGGCACGTTAAGCTGTATTGAGGATTTGAGATCTACTCTTCTTTTTAAGAGCTATTGAGATCTACTTTAGGGAGTGGCAGAACAGGGTTTGTGAGGGCTCGTGATTTTTCTGAGGGCAAACTTCTGCTGCTGTTCAGATACGAAGATATCGTCAAATGCTCGACCAAAAACAGAAGATAATTCAGATGACGAACTACCTCAACTCTGAATAAAATTTGGCCGCCTTCCTTCTTTAGCCCGGCGAGAAAAAGGATGGAAAGGGCCTGAATGACAGGCTATGGAAGGTAAGCAGTTTTCAGAGACCTGGTATTTGAGTCATTGTCCGTGAAAATTGGTCTTGATCATTGACAGGATTGTGCGTTTTATGACAGAGAAAAAAGTTGGGAAGTAGGATAAGTCGGAGGAACAGTGCAGATTGCACTGCAAGTCTTTGAGATGAGAATGACCCAAGAGACAGGCCACTGAAAAGTATGATGTTCATCTGACCTGAATACCTGATGGTTTTGAATCGATTGACCTGGAATGATTTCTGCTAACTTTTGGAACCGTGCATATGATTATGTTTGATTGTGCAGAGATGAAGAAGCGGCTTTGAAGTTTTGTGGATCAGTCAAAATGGGAATTGCGAGAACGGAACTGCAAGTCATGCAGGAGACAAGAATCCAAAAAAAGCCACATTCAAAGTCTGATCACGATGAGTGAAGTGCTTATGGGCTTAGCCACAGATTTGAGCACTCCGTTTCATGTAAGACAGCACTATCTGATTCCACTGCTTCTTACACATTGTATTTTTTGATTTGCTGCTAAAGCCTCATGCAATACCATCTCACAATGCAAACCAGGACTTGATGCATGCGCTTCCACGGGCTTCCCACAAGCTGCACAATCACACTAAAAACGAAGAGCCATTTCACAACATGGAAGAAGGCGATTTTGGTCACAGGTATGTCAGCACACCTGCTATCCTTTATATGTTGTTACTGAACATTCCTGATCTGGAATTAGTTTATGCTAATGCTTGGTTTCTAATCTTAAATGGAAACCTAACATATTACATCAAATCAAATCTCAAATGATTATTCTGGTAGCAATACCCATGTATAGAAATCTCAAATAGAAACAGCTCTCACATGATAGCAGCTGACCCAACTTGTATTAGTACTTTGTTGTTGAATTTTCCTATCTGGAAAATGAGGATCAAGGAATTACCATTTTGTGCCACTGACATGTGTGGGTCAGGTGGGTAAATCCTAGTTTCAATCTAAAGGGAGGTTATATGATCAAATTTCACAACGTAGAAGTATGAAAAGTAAACATGTGAGATGTAACAAAAGAGCATGCCTATAACTAAGGTTAGTTATGGCCAACATACCCACAACCCTTCTCAACCATCTCAAAGTTTGCCAAGAGTTAATACATAATGAAGAAGAAAGAAAAGGTTCAGCGCATCATAACACACAGATCACAGAGACCGAACAGACTAAGTGCAAATATAAACAGATTTGACCAGCCCACAAAGTAGATGAGGGTAGCACCACAACCTGAGATGAGCATCACCTAAGCATAATATAAAGTCTTTTGAAAGAAATTAATTGTTATTGCTCAAAGCATTTATCTTGTCCTGCTTCTTAGCCTTTCCAGACTTCCACACGGAGTTGTGAGAAACAGTTTCCTCGACAATCTTTGGTGTTGTAAAGCTGAAGCTTTCAACTGAAAAGCGATCTTTGTACTGCGGGTTGGCCTCAAGGAACTTATCCACCTCTGCAGTGCATCTTACACGCTTCCCATTTGGCATGACATAGTAGGTATCCATTTTAGACAAATCACCTCTCATAATCACTAGTCTCTCAGTTCCTGCTGGAGGCTTTGGTATGTTAGGCTTGTCAAGGACCCATATACGGCTGCTATCATATTCGATGTCAGCAGGGTCTTCACACGAGCAGTCAGGTCTTCTACTGCAGTGCCATGGCTCCTCAGTGAAATTCTCACGAATTGTCTCAAATTCATCCTTCGTCGGAACCTTGCGCCATTTGTGACACTCACAACATTGAACTGCATACATGCCAATGGAGTCTGTGGAGGAGCCTCGTTTTCTCTATTGAAATAAGAACGTTACCATTCATTACTATTGTATATCAAGCAAAATAATTTTTCTGATCCTAAAATATGCATTTGGAATGTAAATTTTAATTCTATCAGGCACAAACTAATGGAAAATGGATGTTAATGACATGATGTATACTTCTAGTGGATAGGATAACAGAACAACTTCCCAACGCACAAATAGAAATAATAAAGACCGCTACATTGTTTTTTTCTTTACAGTCCATAAAAGCTGCTTCTTAGAAGTTGGAAGTTATATTTTGCATAGAGTCCATATGGTAAGGCCACTTTTGGTATAATGCAGATGCCATGTAGTATAAGGCACACTTATGTTTGGCTGCACAAAAGCAACCATAGAAAAAGATTCTGCATTCAGTTTTTAGAAGGGGCAGAAATTTAAAAAAATCGCGCAGCATTTTGTGAAGAAATCTAAAATTGTTTCATAGACCCAGTGATGTGAAGAAATGGTTCAGACAGCTCTAAGTAGAAAAGTCCTCATTTTCCTCTTTCTCTTATAACCCTCTACAGTCTCCATTCCCTGCAGCCCCCCTTCGCTAATGTATAAAATGTCATCAGAACTTAAGAACTGCAAAAGTATTAAATAGTGTAATACATTAACTCTTATGTTCTCAATCTAAAGTATATGCATTTTTTGTTATTGGACGGATTCCATTATCCTTCATGCTTCTAAATTCCTCTTGGATCTCAAACAAAATTTTGAGAAACCAATGCAAGCTGATCTTTTTTATTTCTTTACAGCCCATAAACTCCCGTTGCTGACAAACAAACTTCAGGCTTCATGTATTCACAGCAGTACAAAGCAACACGCCTACAATTTCTATCCAAAATGGCACAATTTCAGCTCATCAGATTAAGTTAAGGCTCTAAATCGATCCTTCCCTCACCTGTTCTTGGCATTGACGATACTATTTGATTAAAGATTTCATCCTACGGAATAACCTAGTGGAATAACCAAACCCCTATTCTGAACTCTGAAACCGCATCCACGCATATAGTCGCAACATGCAGGCGCCACCATTTGGCACAATTTCTCAAGCCAAACAACCAGATGAAACCAACAACCGAGCATGCTATGGCCACCACCAGATACACCAAACCGGATCGGGGATTCGGAGGAACAGACCAAAGAAGCTGCGGGGGGAAATACCAGTACGAGGAAACGTAGATGGCGACGTACGATCGAGGAGGCGAAAGGGCGAGAGGCGGACCTGTGTGGAGGGCGCCGAGGGGGGCGAGACCGGTGACGGGGATGAGGCCATACTCGACGGTGGGGCGGTTGGCCGCCCGTCGTCGTCGGCGGCGGCGGAGGTTGGGCGGAGCGGTCGCGAGGCGAGGAGAGGAAGCCTCGGGCCGCGTTGCTGGGCCGGTGTGTGGGGGGCGGAAACGAGGACGGACAGCGGGAGTGAATCCCGAGAGTAGAGGGACGGCACGGCAAAGCGGGCCTTTTCACGGGGATAGACCGACAGGGTTTTGACCCTTGCGGGATGCGGGCCTTGCCCAGCCATCCAAACGGCATCACACGGCAATCATATCACCGGCACACATACGGTGATGTGCAGTGTGCACCTACCTTGGAGGTTGTGTTCGGGACACTTTCCCAACTTTACTCTCATTTTACACACACGCTTCCTAAACTGTGAAAAATATGTTTTTTCAAAAAAAAAATACAAAAGTTACTTTAAAAGTTATATTAATTCACTTTTAAATTTTTTTAAGCTAATATTTAATTAATTATCGTTAATATGTATAGTTATTAAAATAGGGACCTACAACGAGAAGTTCCGGATACATGCGAAACAAAGCATATGTAGAAAATATCCAAAATCACCACATGAAAATAGCTCCAGAACTTTGCAGGATTCGACATGAGGTAGAATGAAAAGGTTCAACACACAAAAGCACATGTAGTGCAAAACATAACATAACTTCTGGAGGTAAACAAGGAAGGAGAAGTATAGGTTTTTAAGGTGGCTGCTCCATATTGTCTTAAGTTTTTGGCATCACCTAAAGTAACGCGTATGTAGATTCAGAGGTCACAATGGTAACTACTTGCTGCTGGAACTTGGAACTTCTTTTGCGTCTAGTTGCATACACTGCTCTTCCCTCTCAGACTTCGCCATCACCCACTTTGCACTATCGGAAACAGTCTCCTTAACTATCTTAGGTGTTGAGAAGTTGAAGCTCGAAAGTGGTAAAGTAGCAGCATACTCTGGGTTTTCCTTCAGAAACCTATCTATATCAGGTTTGCCCTTTGCACGCTTCCCATTTGGCAAGACATAATAGGCATCCATTTTAGATAGATCATTCCTCATGATCAGTAGCCTCTCTGTCTTCGGCGGAGGCTTAGGGATGTTGGGCCTATCAATGGCCCAAATACGGCTGGTGTCATACTGGATATCTTCAGGGTGCTCACATGAGCAGTCGCGCTTTTTGCTGCAGAACCATGGCTTCGCGGGGTAGTTCTCACGGATTACCTCGAACTCTTCTTTTGTTGGAATCGTACGCCATTTCTCGCATTTGCAGCATGTGATGGCGTACATGGTAATGAAACCTGGTTTCCCCTGTCAAATATAAATTTATTGTTGTTGTCAATAATATCATGCAAGACATAATTGGAACATCTTCAGTAAACATTGAAAACATGAAATTTAAGTACTTTAAATAAACAAAGGGATGCTAGTTACAAATATGTGTGCTTCTATGAAATAAAGTAACCAAATATCTTCACAATTCTACAAGCAAATATAAAAAATCCAACATTTTGTTCAAAACTACTCCAGGAAAAAATATTTGACATTGGGAAAACTAAACTATTAAGTTTGACTGGAAGGAGAACTTAGAAGAAAAATATTAGTTATATTTCAGAAAAGAAAATTGAAGTAGAACATAAAGTTTATGATGTATATGGAAGCTATCCAGGGAAACCTAGTAGAGAATAATTTGTTGAAATAGTGCATTTTCTTCCTTGCAATAACTCTCCTCAATCAAAGATATAAGTATAAATAGGGTGTTCAATTCTATATTGTTGTTATACAGTATATCACGGCTCCTAGAGAACCCCCTCCCCCCCCCTCTTATGTAGCTAATACATCATAGCTAATATATGTACGCACGCGCGTGCGTGTGTGTTTGTGTGTGTCGGTCTTATAATATAAGGTATTTCGCCCATGTAACCATGGTAGGGTTCTAGGATATGACACTCAAAACATTTTACGACACGATTTGCCGCTCGCTAATGTCTCACTGACACAAGTAAGTTGTGCTACCAATGAAGAACGTGCATATCATAGGACTAATGCCAAGAGGGACCTCATAAAAAATCCCTATCATGGCCACTCTGCCTCCTATGATTTGGATAAGTTACATGTTAAGGAAGTGATGATTATTAGTTGACATGAATGATCAGAACAGACGGCATCAACACTCTTGATCTGTGTCACCTGGACATGGAAACTTGTTCTGAATTCGAGTCGGATTTGTAATGTCATACCCCCTATCACATAGAAGAAATTATACATGGAAATACTACTTGGAATTCGAAAGGGAGTTAGAATCCAAATCCGGCTAAGGACATGGACACATGTTAAGAATTGGACTCAAATTTCTCATGTCCTATCCCATAAAAGAAATTTTATAAGGGGAAATACTACTTAGAGTTTGAAAGAGGGTCGGAATCCAAATCGGACTTAGGGTGTCTGATTCAAGAAAGGAAAAAGGCGTGGATGTATGAATAACACTACACACATCACTAATCCATGAGAGCGAAAGCGAAACAAAGTAGAAATTAAAAATCAGATCACATAATTACCTCAAGAGCCATGATGGTCACCTCTAGGGTCAGGAGGGCAGATTGATAAGGTGGGGGAAAGTGATGGCTGATGATAGTTTGGAGTACTTTCTAGAGGTTCTCAGTATTTATAGAGATCGCTGGGGCAAGATTTTCATACTATAGACAAAATAATATGCTTTGTTTGCAACAACGTAACCATTTCACGTCACGAAAAATAAAAAGTATGGTGGTATTTGAGGTGCTTCTAAGGATTCGCTGGTATTTCTTAAACGGTTTTGCTGGTATTACATTTGAGAGGTTTAGCTGCTATTACCTGTGAATTCATTTGTTTTTTTAAAGCATAATCGTATTCGAAAACTATGTGCGAAGGCTCTAGACAGTTTTCCAAGTTTTCTTTTTTTTTTCCTTCTCCATCGAATATGACAAATTCACCTACTCCCTTCGTCCTAGATTTAGATTTTTTTTTATCTTGGATGGAGTATGTGACATAAAACCCTAAATTTGGCACCTAAAGCGAAAATAGGAAAATATAGCCAAATTTGAAAAGGACCTAGCTTGCTACGCGCGACAAGTCTGACTATCGTCATAGAGCCGGTCAGACAGACAGTGTGGGGCCGGTCTAACTGACGGCATGTGGCCAGATAGACTGGCAGAGTCTGACTCCGTGCCTGATTTTGTCGTTTCTCAAGTTCCCTTGCTTGGGCTAAGGTTTTCTTTAGTCCTATTTGGTTTGTACACCTAGTGGGACGTGGAGAGATACCTATGGAAGGCAAGACCAACCCCAAAATAAGAGCCAACTACAAGAAAAATGCTTTGTGGAGACACTTTTTAAATGTTTTTACAATACTGTAGAGGCATTTTAAAATAAAATACCTAAGAAGTGTTTTATGGTGAATTGTGTCTACAAACAAGACATTTTATAAAATGTCTATAAGTTGGTAGAGGCACTTATAGTGAATTGTCTCTACAAGCAACGAGACATTTTATAAAATGTCTATAAGATGGTAGAGGCATGTACTAGAGATACTTATGGTGAATTGTCTGTGTAAACAAAGAGGCATTTTATAAAATGTCTACAAGATGGTGGAGACATTTTTCACAACAAACAATGGGAATTTTATAAAATGTCTATAAGTCGGTAGAGGTATTTTCCAGAGGCACTTATGGTGAATTGTCTTTACAAACAAAGAGGCATTTTACAAAATGTCTATAAGATAGTAGAGGCATTTTTCACCACAAATAAGAGGTATTTTATAAAATGTCCATAAGTTGGTAGAGGCATTCTATAGAGACACTTATGGTGAATTGTCTCTACAAACAAAGAGACATTTTATAAAATATATAAGATGGTAGAGGCATTTTTCACCACAGACAAGAGGTATTTTATAAATTGTCTATAAGTTGGTAGAGGCGTTTTCTATAGACACTTATGGTGAATTGTCTCTACAAACAAAGAGGTATTTTATAAAATATCTATAAGATGGTAGAGGCATTTTCTAGTGACACTTACGGTGAATTGTCTGTACAAACAAAGAGGTATTTTATAAAATATCTATAAAATGGTATGGGCATTTTCTAGAGACATTAAATTATTAAATTATACCACAACCATATGAAACGCAAAGAGACATTTTATAAAATGTCTATAAAATGGTAGAGGCATTAAATTATTAAATTGTACCACAACCCTATGAAACCAATGTAAAAAAGGAGTAAAATATTTTTCCCTTGCTATTGCAAATCCTTGAGCTCAAGATCTCTTGGACAAATCATTTTTATCTTCAATGCACTAGCGAACTCAACCTTATGTCGTTACTTGTATGTTTGTGCTTTGAGTTATTTATATTTAGTTCTTCAGTTTACATTATCATTCTAAAAAGTAAGTGTTTGTACAAAGTTTAAAATATCTCAAGAAATGCATTTACATATCAGGTACATTTTAAAGTGTCGAAAGAATACTTCTACAAGATATAATTTAATAAAATGTGCTGAAAATATCTCTAAAGTGTCTCTAAAGTAAAAGTTTTCTACGCAATTTTCAAAGTGTCTGTGTAAAGTGTCTCTACACTACAAAACACCAGATCTTAGAGGCAATTTGCAGAACACCTCTACAAAAGTGTCTTTATATGAGGTTTTTGTTGTAGTCGCCATGGCCAGTTCAATTGAGGCACACAATCTACAACAGCGCAATTAGCCAATTGAATCGTTCTTTCAATATCACATATACTTTTTGCCTAGTTTTCAGCCTAGTTCATCCATCTTCGTTGGTTTGCTTTGAAAGTTGTCCGTCTTCGTCGCGAGAGTGCGAGTCATCTGTGTAGGTTTGTCCCTAAAACATTCGGTTCCGCCCACAAGACGGGTGTTTATCCCTATTTGTCTAAATCGGCTCCGTTAGTTGCTTTTGATCTATAAACCCATCTTGATCAGGGGCTTCTCAAGATCAAGGTGGTTGGAGACTCCATACGCTGCAAAACTTTAGGTGGATTCCGATCGTGTTGTGGCGTGACTAAAAAGGTGTCAACAACTAGTTGTACGCTTGTCTGGTTTTTATCTGGCAACGTCATGCCTTAAGCGATGTGCAAAGGTCCAGTGTCCAGTCGGTCTTCCTTTTTTACACTAGGTAAGTAAGAATTGGCCTATTCATGTGGCATTGGTTGGCATTCGTTGTCCATTTGTATGGCTTTATTGGAAAGTGCTTAGATGTTGTAGTCTTGTAGGGGAAAGGTGGAGTTAGTTTTCCTCTTTTGTATTGCTAGTAATCGTGCACATGCGATGCATGTTTCGCGATATATATCCGAGAAATCAAAGTTTGGTGACCATATTTAGAAACAACAAGTAAAAATCCAGTTGAGATCTTTTAGGCCACATCGATCGGCGAATAGCCCTCGCGTCGCCCTCCCCCGGGCGGCTCGGGAGGCGACGCGCGCGCCGCCGCTTTCCTCCTCCCCCCGCCCCCTCCTCCACCTCGCCGCCGCCCGAGCGGGTGCCGGCAAAGCCGCGGAGCCGCAAGGACGGCGGCGGCGGGGTCTCGCCTCGCCCTTCCCACGCTCGGCGGCTGGCGGAGCTGTCCGGGGCGGCGGTGGTGGTGGCCAGATCCGCGCCGTTTCCGGCCAGATCTGAAGGGGGGGTGGCCGGCGGCGGGGACTGACGGTGACGGTGGCGACGACGGCGGCGGACCACGGCGACTGAAGGCAACGTCGGCGGCGGACCGCGGCGCGTCCAGGCCACCTGTAGACCCCCGTTTTTATAACAGGAATCATTCGTGTAAACAGTACCATTTCCCTGGATCAAGTAGTCTGGTACACACGAGTTCATAGCTGAAATACCAAAAGCACATACACGAGAGTCTAGTGCTAATTATTACATCATAAGCCCGCAGGCATTGTCTTAAATCATCGGACCGAGCGGTCCGGAATACATCCAAAAGCAGAAATAGATAAGGCAGCGGAATTCAGGCAGCGGCATGCCATTGCCACAGGCAACGACCGTACTAAGACCTACTGAGCGCCATCGTCTTCATCTCCCTCCTGGTAGTAGGCATAGGGATCCTCTGAAGCTTCATCTCCCGCTTCTGATTAATTTTATATTTGCAAGGGTGAGTACCAACCGTACTCAGCAAGCCATCACAGCAACAATGCACATGATAGGTGTATTTAAAGGATGGCTATGGTTCCTTTGCACAAAGCCAGTTTTGTAATTCTTTTCACAAGCCTAAGATCTAGCACAGACTGATCAAATTTTAGTACCAGTGTTCATATTAAACAATGACGGTTCTGTCCACCATCCATTGTGATCCCAAGAATAGCTTCCCGCCATTGAGTCGTTATGGTTTTCTGAGGACGTCCACATTCCCGCCTCTCAGGAAGTGGCTCCATCAGCATAAAAAAAATCATCATGCAATATCCCATCCCACACAAGTTAAAGAATTTAAAGTCTAGCCAAGTGTAATACATGTCCCGGTGCTCAATAACCGCGAGCACGACTATTCGAATAGATTTGGTTTACTCACACTGCAGTGGATGCACACTTTACCCGCACTCCGCGACTGCCCAACACATGAGCCTCGTCCCAACACATGAGACGCGTCACGGCAAAGCTTTTCGATAACCTCGCATTGGCAGTACCCGCTCCATGAACTTAAATCCTCATGCAATCTAGGCGTCCATGTTTCTAGCAGTGAGAGGAGTTCTGGCGCTCCCGGGAAAGAGAAGTCTCACACACATATTAAATTATGGTTCAAGTTAAGTTCTCTCTCACACACACTCATGGTAGTCCTACCAATGGCGACACCGATGTAGGGCACGCCTCTCGGCCCTACCTCAACGGCTGTCCCACCGTAGCGCACCTGCCTCACTCAGGGGTGAACCATCTATGCAGGGATACTGCCTCCGCTCGGCTATCTAATCCGCTAGGTCTATACCCATACGAGAAGTGCGGTTGTACGGGGGTCGTTTCATGCTTAACTTCATGGCTCAGTCCTTAATTGACCGGGGACGATACTAGCCTTTTCCAGATACCACCCAAATCCTCCGTCCGCCCCAGTCGAAAACAGTTGTTTAATTTTATTTCTCCTTTCACAAATTATGTCATCAACATCATGGCAATGTGGCGCTCATGTCTCCACATGCCGCATCTCAATTACCTTCCCAAAGGTAATTGCCCAAGCATATAGCATTTGATAAATATGAGTATGCATGATTCTAGAATAGCATTTCTAAGCAATTGTCATAGTTGACTAGGGACTCATACGTAAACATGGTTACAAAGATTTAAGGGTAAACAATAATCAAGGCATGGCATAATCACAAGTAGGATGTTCATCATTGCATGCAATTTTATTTGTAAACAAAACAATTTCGCAATTGGGATCAACATATTCAAGGAATAGTGATGACTTGCCTTGCTCAAAGTCTTGGGGGTCTTGGCCTTCACTTGGATCCGCAACTCCCTCGGGCTCTATAGTTACGTGCGAAAATTGATTTGGATTCGATTAGAATTCAAATAAAAATCCAAATAAATCCAAATGGAAGTCGAACGCGAAAGTCGATTCTTTTGTATTAACTTTACTATTCGCGTACTAGGGCAAACCCAATTTCGATTCAAACTATTTTGCAGGTATAAATGTTTTGTTCTCATAAGTTTTTAATTTAATCTACCCGAGCATTATATCCA